ATAACAGGTTACATCAGGATGGTACATTGTTTTTTGGTGTCCATTGATGACTTCTGTTGCATCTTTCCACTGCACAAATGGTTTAGCAACCAATGCACAAAGCTGCTGACTTCTTCTAAACCACACAGTACTTACAGAGTGCACCTTGCACATTAAATGAGTAGGCTAACCAGGGAAATCTGTTGAACCATTTGGGTTGAAAACTTAGATGGCTCTTCTTACCACAGGAAATACATATCCTGGCAGTGGAGTCTGTGGATTTTACATTAATTGAGCTTTCAAATTTACACTAATTGAGCTGTTCAAATAAAGTCCAAGGCCTAACAATGACATCGCTTCTTGTCTTTGCTCCCATTCCATGGTTTCTTTGGCAGGGCTTGGATTAGATGAACCAGTGGCAGACATTGGAGTTTCCACAGTTTCTTCAGTTTTCACCCGTAGTTCAGATGTGCATGTTCTGGGGTCTTCATCAGTGCCAACTGCTGCAATGGTTCTCAACCTGCTGTCTTCTTGGTCTTCAATAGTTGGCTTTTTCTTTTTTGCCATGAACTCAAAAAAATTCAGTTGCTTTGATAGATGTTTAAACATCTTCTTGAGTCAGGTGGATGACAGGCAACACTAATAGCAGCTAACAGGTCTTTAAACAGCAACTCAAATTGCACCATAAGGAGTGACCCACAGCTATTTTAAAGAATATAGACATAAGAGAGCTCTGAAGGCCACAGCCAGGATACCCACCCCAAACCAGTAGTGTGCCCATTCTTTTTCCCAAGGGCAAGATAGTATGACTGCATAGCTTCCAGAACAGACCGGATCTGATGCCTTCTAGTTTGTTAGGCTATGAGCCTCACCAGGCAGAATCTTGAGGGCCTCTCGGATACAGGGGAAGACCACATGGCCTCCAGTAGAATGACCCCAGCCTGAGGCAACATCGGCCCAAAGGCATGAAGACCAACATGAGGTCTGAACAAAATGTAGATCTTCAAATATAAAGCTGAACATGAAGCCTAGAACAAGATGGACGCCTCCCAATATAATGGCAAGACTTAAAGCCTAACATGAGGCCTGAAACAAAAGAGAGCCTCCCCTAATATAATTGTAAGAGCTTAAAGCCTAACATGAGGCCAAAGCTTAACCCCTAACACAAAATATGCAATAAAAATGTAGGCCTTAGTATGTGATGAAACAGTTAATGAGTCAAATTACCTGTGCCTTCCTGGGACTGAGAGACAAAAATCATTAAGTATTATTTTAAAGGAAGGAGTTGTCTGTAACCTTCCTCTGTAGCCCATAAATCATGACATGAGGTTTAAAAAGTGTGACTAACCCAGGCAACAACTTATTAAGAGTGTATTCTAAAGGACTTTATTGGCCTCCGCCCAAGAGCCTAGAATCTGACCTTTCTGCAGCACTTTGTTCATTACTGATAGCAGGACTGGAGCCAATTTTTCTTTACATTCCTTGTAATACATGGCTGAAAACCCATCTGGACCAGGAGTTTTATTTATTTTAGCTTTATCAATAACCCCACCTAATTCCTCCAATGTGATTGCTTTATCTAATTCTAAATTCATTTCCTCTAAGAACTTCGTAAATTTAATTTCCTCCAGATATAGATCTACCTTTTAAGGATTGGTCTGGAAATTTTGATATAAATTCTTGTAATAATCTTATGAATACTCCATATATCATGGTTGTTTCTTGCTTATTTCCTGTTTTAGCAATTAATTGTTCCTTCATATCCCTTTCTGCTATGCAAGAACATACAATGAAAGCATTTCCAACAGATGGTCATCTATTTAAAAACCTCCAGAGAAGACAATCCCACTATGTTCTGAAGCAAAATATTCCACAGTTGTACAGCTCTTGCCCTCAGGCAGTTAATGAATTACTAAAGGAACAGAAAATTAAGAAGGAAACAGTTCTTTACCATGGATCGTGATGTGCCTGAATTCTTAAATGACATTAGTCTATAAATAATGCTTCCCTTAATTCTTATTTATTAATAATTCTTAAAAGAAACCTTATTAGTTTGTCACTGCTTTGAATACATGATCGAAGCAGTCAATATCAACTGACAGGATTATAAGTACATTTTTAGTGGGGATACTGATAGATTCTTATTCCCTCTAGCTATTCTTGGCTAGTAGGAAGCACTAATACCTGCCCTGTTGATTTGTACACTGTTAAAGCACTCTTCTAGGATTTGGGGGTTTGTAGTTCAGGGACATTGTAGTGTAAACCACTCTGAGAAAATATAACTTAATTTCATGGCTGAATAAATCTCAGGTGATTTTCAGAAAGCTCCTCAGTAGGTTTGCCTTTAGGTTTCCATAAATCAGAAATAACTTCAAAGCACATAACAACAACAACAACAACAACAACAACAACAACAACAAGAAAAATGACTGGAACCAAAAGTCTTTTTGATTTAGAATACCTTTATTTTCATATATGTGAGATCTTGGAGATGAGGCATCTTATAACATGAAGGCAATTTTATATAATTGGTTTGTGTACATATAACTATCAAGGTTTGTGTACATATAACTATCAGAAAGTGTATCCAGAATGATAAAAACATTGCTCTAATCCCCCCTCTCTGTGGCAAACATTTTAAAATCTTGACTAGCAAAAGGCGTATTATCTCTCACAACTATCATTAGGATTCCATGGTGAACAAACACAAATTTAAGCCTACCAATTGTGTGTGCCAAATATATCACTTTATTCAAACTTTGAATCAGGAGTCAACAACCATTATCGCTGAACAGTGATATTCTTCTGTTAAGGCAAAAACCCAGATTTCCCCTTTCCATAGGTAGAGATGACATGATGCAGAGAGCTGGAATAGGTTCAAAGGAGCAGGCCTTGCTTTCATGCAGTAAGGTATGGCTATTCAGCCTGAAGTCTGTACAGTATACTTCCAGAGTTCTGTGAGTGTACATTGTTTACTCATATGACCTCATCATATGGGCTAATTTGACTGCCGTATGCTGTTTGCTTCCTCCTTTTACCATGGAGCCCATTACATGACGTACATCTACTTCTGATGGGGCTACGTGTCAAAAGGGGAGAGCAAGCAACATACGCCTCCATGGCAGCAACATGGGAGGCTTCCCATGTTGCCTTTTCAACAATGGGGAGAAGCCAGGCAGCAGACATTTTCTCCTGTGGAATGGGACAAGTCTGGCGATGACGGGTTCTCCATGTCCCTCACCGGGACCCAATGGTTTCGGCACAATGCGTGGCAAATCCCAACCTTAATGTGATAAGGTCCCTAAACACTATAGACATATTGTAGGAAACTTGCAAAAATTAATATTAGCTGTTCAAAACATAGGCATTTGTTTGCAAATGAACACTGGATATGGGACCATGTAGTAGTGTTTCCCAAACATATATTATCCCAGTGTTTGGGACTTGTATTTCCAGAAGCCCATCAGTTTGGCTAACAATTTTGAGAGATGAAGTCCAACAGGCGAACAAGTAAAATTTGGGTAACACTGACATGTAAGGATGGGAAAACAGTTCCTGGTACGATTCTCATCATTGATTGTGATGGCTAGGTTAATAGAATCAAGAGTCCAATCACAATTGGAGGGACACAAATTGATCTTCATTAGTGTACACTGACAGCAAACTTACTTTCCAACTGAATCTTTATGTAACACAAAGTTTTCTTGCACACGCCTCTTGTTAATCATAGTATCACAGAATCATAGAGATGGAAGAGACCTCATGGGCCATCTAGTCAAACCTCCTGCCATGCAGGAAAAGCATGAGATAAGTGAATTCAGTCCAGCCCTCCTATCTTTCATAAACATCCCAAATCAAGCAAAAATAGAAATATTCCTTAGGCTTCCTCCTCAGTGGTGGTCTTGGAAATGTCGAAGAAGAACACTTAACATCCAAACCAACCAATCAATAATGCTTAATCACCAACAGCACTTCCAAAAGATTTCTGTTTATTTATTTTTATCCTGCCTTTCACTTACTATAGACTTCAATTACTTCCTTGGTCTACAGGTCCCACAATGCTTCAGCCAGCATGGCTACTTGGAATTCCTAGAAAGATAAATTTTAGGGTTGCCCATATCAGCCATAAAGTGGTCCAACCCAGAATGGTAGAAGTGAAAGGGCATAATCAATGGCTGTGACTGTTAAACAGTTAGGGTTAGCCTATCAGAGATGTCGTTCTAACATATTAGCTTTGTTGAATAATGTGTATTTCTTTATATGGCCTCAAGAGGGAAGCAATGTCACCAAAGATATTTATAATTTAAAGAAGATAATGTGAATATGTTTGTCTGAAGGAAAGAATAAACAAAAAGAGATCTGCCTTTAATAATAACAACCAAACTGTTATTGCTTCAGGGATTTGAGAATTTGGGAGATAAGTAGACTCTTAGCTCCTGTTTTAAAATAGTCTAAAGTCATTTTTTTCAAAATAGGGTTGTATCTACACAATAGAATTAATGTAATTTGATCCCAATTTAATTACTTTGACTCAATGCTATGGAATCAATAAATGCTATGGATTTTGTAGTTTTACAATGTCTTTAACCTTCTCTGCTACAGTACTACTGCCTCATCAAACTACAAATCCCAGAATTCCATAGCATTGAGCCATGGCAATGAAGATGGGATCAAACTGCATTAACTCTGCAATGTAGACGCACCCAAACACACTGCTTTATACATCAACTGCATAGGTGGGAGAATTAGCACAGATAATCAGGGCACCATTGTTAAGATCAGGAGCTAATTCCTTTCCTATCGTGTACACCCTCAGAATTTGAATCTATAAAAGAAGATTTAGAAAGAGACCAGAAGTTTATGGACAGGGAAACAAAGGGATCCTACATGATGATGAACTTCTTTGTCTAATCATCTCTCTTAACTGGCTAGGCAGCCTGGGGCTGATAGGAACTAGATATGGAGAATTACAAGTTTACCATCCGTTTTAGGTGCTGAACCTAAAGGAAACAGAATCATGATTATTTTCTTCCCAAAATGGCACTATAAAGATTTCCTTTCTTGATCTGAAGCTCCCTGAAGCCAGCTGCACTGAAGAGGTTACTGAACTCAGATAGGGTCCGTTGTTTTCCTTCGGTAAGAAGCAGCATAATTACGGAACGAAGATGAGCTGTCAAAGGTCCAGCTCTGTCTTCATCGAGAACTGATTCCAATACCAACACTCCGCCACCTGTTTCAAAATAAATATTGTTGATTTGGGGAAAAGACGGCATTACTATTTTAAATACACAATCTCTTCTGTGGAAAATGTGGGCTATTCTAAGGGCCCTTCTACACAGGGCAGAAACCTGGGAGGAAGAATATTAAAATAACCTTCTTCCTCCCTGTTCCCACACCCTCCCACAAGACCAGTTGCTCTCATTGCCACGTGATTTCGAGGCAACGGTGTAATAATGGTGAGGCTGCAGACCATATTTTCATTCTTGCATACCACTGGTAGTCCACGGACCACAAGTTGGGAACCACCGGGTTACAGCTATCAAAATTCTCTAGCCAGCATGGCCAGTTTCTTACAAAACATCCAAGGAAAAAGACAGTCCCAACCCTACAGGGCCTAGCTGCCTAAGAAAGTAACAGAGAAAGTTCCCATAACACAGGATTGCTATAATAATCACATAAGGTTCTTATAATGTAGGATGGGCAAGGTACACTCCCTGTGGTGTTGGATTGCAACTCATAGCATTTCCTACCACTGGCCATGCTGATTATAACTGATGGGATCTGTAGTCCAATAACATCTGGACTGCTATCAGGGCCGTAGCCAGAAAAAAAATTTGGGAGGGGTTGAAATTTTCGGGAGGGGGGGTTTGAAAATTTCACCGGGGGGGTTAAAACCTGCCTCCTAGCTCACGCTGAAGCAAAGAGCACAGCAGGGGGCAGAGCAGCCTTCAATAGCCTGCAGCTCCGCCCTTGTCAACCACCCCCACCAAGTCTGGCCTCCTTAATGAGAGCATTCAACATCCCCCATCCCACTACTGTCCTGTCGCGCGCTGGGCCTGTAAATAATTGTCTTTAGAACAGGATGTGCAACTTTTGCCCAGCGGGAAGCCAGGGAGCCTAAAGAGAAGTTCTCAGAGGTTTCCACCACAAACAGTCTTTAGATGGCTTGAGAAGTACAACAAAGTATTTTATTAATGAACAATTAAACAGAAACTTCTCTTGTCTTCAGTAAAGTTAAGCAAATGATTCCAAGCTTTTAGGCAACTGGTGAATTCCTAATCTTGCCCACGAAGAACAGGCAACTGTCTTCAATAACTTCTTATTTAAAGGAAAATCCCCTTTTTAACTTCTCCCAGGCTGACTGTAATCTAACCCTTACTGATGTGGGCTCCGCTACCAGGTTGAACTGCATCTCAAACATCGAGTTGACCTACCAGCAAGGCAGTAGATGTTTTCCAGCTGGAGTTCTTTGGTCTTTAGGGCTGTTTTCCTGGAAATTCTTTGGAGACTCTTAAGACCTTTCTCCCCCGGAAGGTCTTAAGGGTTGAAGCTTTTGTATAGGGAAAGCTTGCACACATCCTATACATAAGTTTACCTTGCTGAGACTAACTAAAAATGGCTCCCTTCCCAATTGCCCTGAGCAAGGGGCGGGACCAAAACGTAACAATGATGGACAGGTGACTTGCCCTATGACTGCAACCAAAGAAGCCACCTATCTGCAGAGTCCCTGAAACCTAGGACTGCAAGCAAACATTTAATACAAAGCAAATAAAGTTGGAGCTCCTGGTACAGCTGTACCAGAACAACTACATCGGCTATTGCTGCAAGTAATGACAGTGTGAATAAATTGCTAATATGTATTTGCTTGAGATAGTGCTTGCAGTTCTGGAGGGACTCTTAATTTTTTGCATCTCATAGACTTAGCATGGGGATTTGGTTAACCAGTTAAAATTCATGAGTAAACCAGGTTTTTTTTAAAAAAATCTGAAACATTTCGGGGGGGGGGTTGAACCCCTAACCCCCCCCCCTCGCTACAGGCCTGACTGCTATAGTTTACTCACCCTTACCTTAACTGATTCTCATCATATAACAATCTGACCTCTTCTCTCCATTAGATGATGCAAGCTTTCTTTTAAATATAGCTGGTTAAATATTATTGCTATGACAGGGGTTTCCATGGCTTGATAAGAATCTGACACAAAAGGTCTGACAATCATGCACTGAAGACATAAGAAAAATGAAAGATGCCTCCAGAGGACAGCAAAAGATATGATGGGAATACCATAGCTCAATGACACAAGGTCCCAAGTTAAGTCTCTGCTCTCTTCATATAAAGATGGAGCATGCCTAAAACTCTAGATTATTGCTGCCTTTCCCTTTGGACATCAGAACCTCAGTGCATGTTGTTTCTCACTCTTTTAATAAGTCCCCTGATGCTCTGGTCAACACACACACAAAAATGCCTACAGTCCAGAAGTGCGTCACAGGCTGTAGAGCAGTCCTGACCATGTTTCCTTTTATCTGAGTACCACGCACCAGGTTTGCAGGCCTTGTATATTTTCATGAGCAGTTGCTCACATGTATCATCATCCCAATCATGCAAGGTCCTGGCTAAAATATACAGATCAGCTTCAGGAACTGGATCTTTAAAGAAGTCACCTGGAATGAAATAGGCAGAGATCTGGTTAATTAAGCATATTGTCTTTCCCAGAAACAAATGGGTTCTACTGTTTGGAAATCAGGGTCACTCCCCAAATACCTTTATTGTCTCTGACCCCTTCTACACTGCTATATAAAATTCCGATTATCTGCTTTGAACTGGATTATATAGCAGTGTAGAATCATATAATCCGGTTCAAGGTAAATGATGTGGATTAGCTGCTATAATAACAGGAATTATTTGGCGGTGTAGAAAGGGCCTCAAAGGATTCTCCTATGCAAATACAAATTCCCACATACAAAAGCTTGCTGATTTGCCAACTGACTTTTATTTCAGCACTGTTGAAATGACAGTGTCCCTCCCTGCGTTCTTAGGAATGCAGCAGACTGGCAGACACCTATAGATCTTCTACTGCTTTCTCCTAACACTAACTGCATAAGGCATTTGCGTCATTATACCCAACTGGAAGACTGACCCATTGTTTTGTCCCAAACCTTCTTAGATGTGGTTGTCTTGCTTGTGAATACATGTATTAACTAAAAAGATTAATCTATATATGATTACAGAACAAACATATTTTACCTTCCTGGAAGGAAATCTGGCATTCTTCTGAGGCCACAGGCTGTTTCTTTGCTGCTTCTACTACTCGAGGTAAGTCAAAAATGGTCACAGTAGCTTTTGGGTACAACGAAATGTACTCTTTGGCTAAAGTACCATTTCCTCCTTAAAGAAAGAACAGAATGCAAAGCAATGTATATTGTTAAAAGCAGATAGCATTTGAAATGTCTTCCTGAATATTTTAATTTTAATAAAATTCCAGCAATGCACATGAAATATATAGCCATGGGGAGAAAGGTGGAGTATAAATTAAGTTAACAATGATGCAAAAAATGTCAAAATATTTCATTATTATCTGAGGGTTTAAAAGCAAAAGAGGAAGCATATGGATTGTTGGAGTTAAATGTGAAAAACTCTGCTAGCAGTGAGGGCCCTGAAAAATACTCTGTAGATTATCCTGAGGCCTGATTTCAAAGGCCTGCCATTAAGGACTCCATGGGAAAGCGATTTTGTGTGCATGCAGAAATATATACCAATCTGCTACTCCTGGTTGCTGTTGTGTGCCTTTAAAAAGTTTCAATTTATGGCAACTCTGAGGAAACCTATCATGAACTTTATGGCAACCCTAAGGAAAACCTTAAGTCAGTGGTTCTCAACCTGTGGGTTCCCAAGTGTTTTGACCTACAACTCCCAGAATTCCCAGCCAGTCTACCAGCTGTTAGGATTTCTGGGAGTTAAAGGCCAAAACATCTGGGGACCCACAGGTTGAGAACCACTGTTCCAGGTCATCCAGCACTATTGAGCATATTGAGAGCATCCACAGCGCCATCTGGTGTCTATATTTTACATTTTTGATTCTGACAGTTCTTATGAGCTTCTCTATCTCTTTAACATATCATGTGATTTTTTTCCCCCTTTAAAATTGAGGGACCTCCCAGACGTTTCCCATACTTGCAATTAGAATCAAACGCATAGCAGAGTATCTTGTGAGTACACGTATTTTGTGAAATACATTTATAATTAGATTAAATATTTATTTTCTGTATATGTAACTTTTAAATATTTACAGCCACATTTTGTTCCTTTCATCTAGATCCCACTAAACATATAAACCTATATTTCTAAGGGGAATAAGAACCAAGTTTATAACCTTGTAAGTATCTTTAAACATGTTGAAATATATGATGCTGAATGGATGTATTTACAACAAATATTGATGTATATGATAAGTATCAAGTTTATAACTCTGTTAGTATTCTTATATGGAAACAATTACTGTCCGGTCTGCCTCACATTGATACCAGGCAAGATTCTGGAAAAGATTATTAAGGAAGTGGTCTGCAAACACTTAGAAACAAATGCGGTCATCACTAATAGTCAACATGGATTTATCAAAAACAAGTCATGCCAGACTAATCTGATCTCTTTTTTCAATAGAGTTACAAGCTGGATAGATGCAGGGAATGCTGTGGATGTGGCGTACCTGGATTTCAGTAAGGCCTTTGACAAGGTCCCCCATGACCTTCTGGCAAGGAAACTAGTCCAATGTGGGCTAGGCAAAACTACGATGAGGTGGATCTGTAATTGGTTAAATGGACAAACCCAGAGGGTGCTCACCAATGCTTCCTCTTCATCCTGGAAAGAACTGACGAGCGGAGTGCCGCAGGGTTCTGTCCTGGGCCCGGTCCTGTTCAACATCTTTATTAATGACTTAGATGAAGGGCTAGAAGGCATGATCATCAAGTTTGCAGACGACACCAAATTGGGAGGGATAGCCAATACTCCAGAGGACAAGAGCAGAATTCAAAACGATCTTGACAGATTAGAGAGATGGCCCAAAACTAACAAAATGAAATTCAACAGTGACAAATGCAAGATACTCCACTTTGGCAGGAAAAACGAAATGCAAAGATACAGAATGGGGGACAATGCCTGACTCGAGAGCAGTGAAAAAGATCTTGGAATTAAACATGAGCCAACAATATGATGTGGCGGCAAAAAAAAGCCAATGGGATTTTGGCCTGCATCAATAGGAGCACTGTGTCTAGATCTAAGGAAGTAATGCTACCCCTCTATTTTGCTTTGGTTAGACCACACCTGGAATATTGTGTCCAATTCTGGGCACCACAATTCAAGAGAGATATTGACAAGCTGGAATACTGTGTCCGGAGGAAGGCGATTAAAATGATCAAGGGTCTGGAGAACATGCCCTATGAGGAGTGGCTTAAGGAGCTGGGCATGTTTAGCCTGAAGAAGAGAAGGCTGAGAGGAGATATGATAGCCATGTATAAATATGTGAGAGGAAGCCACAGGGAGGAGGGAGTAAGCTTGTTTTCTGCTTCCCTGCTTTTAAACAGAGGCTGGATGGCCATCTGTCAGGGGTGATTTGAATGCAATATTCCTGCTTCTTGGCAGGGGGTGGGACTGCATGTCCCATGAGGTCTCTTCCAACTCTTTGATTCTATGATTCTATGATTCTGTCTTTATATGTGTTTATGTACATGATGTTCAATGAATTTATTTGCAGCAAATATTGATCTATATATAATTTTAGTCCACCAGAGGAAGGCCTGGAGTGAGGCCGAAACCGGTTGTGGACTACGGGTTTATGTTCAACTCGACGCAAGAACATACGGCATTGATACTTTTTTGAGTGACTGTACCAAACACATATAATATTGTTTTGTGAATGCTATGATTTAGAACTGTATAATAAGTTTCACCAGTCACATTATTGGCTGAACTGATTTATTTTTCTTTTTGTGTACAAGTGGGCTATTGTGTTGTACGCATTAACTCAGGAACCTATTCATATTGTAACCACTGCCTTAGGTCATAACCTTAAGAGGTTATTTCAGTTGCTCCTATTAATTCTAGCAGACCTTCCCACCTACTGGACTTCATATGGCTGAAAAGCAGTGAAGATGTAAAGCAGTGGTTCTCAACCTCTGGGTTCCCAAGTGTTTTGGCCTACAACTCCCAGAAATCCCAGCCAGTTTACCAGCTGCTAGGATTTCTGGGAGTTAAGGGCCAAAACATCTGGGGACCCACAGATCGAGAACAACTGATGCAAAGCAATCCATTCATTTGTATTTCTCTGGCCCTGTCATGTCCCCACAGAGACTTTATTATTTGAGCCTCCCTTAGTTAGAAGGGCTTTAATTCTTTATTGTATAGTTTATGGGCGGGAACCTTTTCCTTTGAGACCCCCTCCCCACCCTCCCACAGAGGCAGAGCCTTATAGCCAGATCCAATAGCTTCCCTGGAGCCAGAGCCAATTGGATGAAGGTGTTAGAGGAGCCAAAAGCTAAACACATTGCATGTTGAGAAGTTGGTGTTACAAGTTGAAGAAACCCTGCCACAGGTGTATGGAAGTCAAGACAAGAAAGGACATAGAAGGAAGTTGATTCAAGCCTCTAAACTTTCCTACTAATTTTAGTTGTTAGTCCTGGAAGGAACTAGAATTTTGACTTTTTATTACCTTATTTTATTTTATTTTATTTTATTACCTTCCTTGTTAATTGTTCACCTTTGTAAATCCAACTGTGTTCCGAGCGACACCAGAGTACCTTCAAGAATTATCTTGCGGGACAGAACAGGCACAATCTCCTGTCTTGCCTCATTGTTTTCTCTAAACATCTCTGTTGTTCAAATTTTTGTATTCCAAGTTACTAAAACTATTTTGTTTAGAAGTATAGTTGAAGTTGTTTTGGTCACATGTGGGAGAAAAATAGAATATACAACAAGCCATGAAATTTGGAATGATCAGAAACTGGAGGGGTGGTTGGTGTATGTGTATGTAACTTATTTACTTTAGCATGAATACTATTGTGGATAGCAATTTATATCCACGAAAGCCCATGCTATGATAAGGAAGTTTGCATTTTAAAAACTACTCTCCAGCAAATTTCCATTTCATGCTGAAGAAGGCTAACAGTTAAGCCTTTGAAGACCACTATTTCGGAATGACATTACTGAAGAATCATTGACATTTTCAAGCATATATACTTTTTCTATACTTTCACTGGGCAGTGGGTTAAAGCACTGAGCTGCTGAGCTTGTTGATTGAAAGCTCGCAGGTTCAAATTTGGGGAGCGGCGTGAGCTTCCACTGTCAGCCCCAGCTTCTGCCAACCTAGCAGTTCGAAAACATGCAAATGTGAGTAGATCAATATGTACTGCTCCGGCGGGAAGGTAACGGCACTCCATGCAGTCATGCCGGCCACATGACCTTGGAGGTGTCGACGGACAATGCCAGCTCTTCGGCTTAGAAATGGAGATGAGTACCACAGCCCAGAGTCGGACACGACTGGACTTAATGTCAGGGGAAAATCTTTACCTTATACTTCCACTTGCTTTCATCTACATATATTTATTTATACTGATAAAGAATGTACTGCACAAATGAAAGCTTGGCAGGTTAGATCTTCTGTGAGAACAATGTGTAATCTCCTGTCCTGACCCTAAACCAGTGCCTGTCATCAGTAATGAATTGGATGAGGATCTTCCTTCTCAGTGACTTCCTCACAACTCTAGAACTCCCTTCTTCCCAGTCCTAGATGCTTGGGATGTGTTCAACTTGTGATTTTGTGATACGAAATCCAGCATATATAGAGAGTATCTTACAACTTTCTAATAAAAATTATTAATATATTCCAACTAGGTTTCCCGGATCAAAGGAACACCCCCCCCATTGAAATAATACATTTAGAGAGTTGTGTAGAGGGATTATCACCACTTTTACTATCATAGAATCATAAAGGTAAAAGGCAACCTAAAGGGTCACCTCCCCAATCTGTAAAGTTTCAAATGCCAAACAATGGAAGGTAATCAATAATTTCTGTTACTTACCTCCCACATCACAAACAACTTGGAAACAGGAAAGATCAAATGCAGACAACATTTCCTGACCATGTAGGCTCCAGGCTTCACCCATAGCATTGGAGAATCTTTGCAGCCTTTCTTCTGTACTAAGAATTCAATGTTAGAAAGGAAAGTCAGCAAAAAGGATGACTGTGTACAAAATTCGATATACTGCTGGTCATTGCAAAAAAAGGGGAATACATACATGGTATATGGATCATTGTTTAACACTCCCTTTTCTCAACTTCAAAATTATTTTCAGTAATGCCCAAGGAATGGAGCACATAAAAGTATTAGCCAGGAAAAGTAGACAGTTAAAATTCTTTTCTATTGATCTTTGTATATAGATTCATGCCAGGAAAAAGGAAGGAAGGAAGGAAGGAAGGAAGGAAGGAAGGAAGGAAGAGCACCCTGGGGGTGTTACGTTATTTTGTGATTTTGGTCAGTCTTGTAGGAAATGGTTCCTGGATTGTAATCTTGCTTTGTTGCTGTTGTGTAGAAAGCTGGATGATACATTGATTTGTTTCATCTCCTTAGGTTGGTATGCTAGTTTGAGAAATGTTTGTTGCAAATCTAAGAATGTTGCGTCTCTGTCTCCTTTGTCTCAGGAGATTGTCAATATTGGAAAGGGCAGTTAGCTTCACACAGGATTGGAACAGCTGGATCTCAAGGGAAGTTATACTTCTGTGGTTAATGAAACTGAAACTTTATTACAGTAGAGCAGGGGTCCTCAAATTAAGGCCCGGGGCCCGGATGCGGCCCTCCAAGGTCATTTACCTGGCCCTCGCACAAGGTCAACCTACGTCTGAAATTACTTGAAAGCACACAACAACAACCCTATCTCATCAGCCAAAAGCAGGTCCACACTTTCCATTGAAATACTAATAACTTTATATTTGTTAAAATAGTTCTTCATTTTAATTATTGTATTGTTTAAAGTGTTTATTGCACAACAAATAAGATATGTGCAGTGTGCATAGGAATTCATTCATGTTTTTTTCAAATTATAATCCGGCCCTCCAACAGTTTGAAAGACTGTGACCCGGCCCTCTGTTTAAAAAGTTTGAGCACCCCTGCAGTAGAGTCTCGCTTATCCAACATAAATGGGCCAGCAGAACATTGGACAAGCCAAAATATTAGATAATGAGGAGGGATTAAGGAAACGCCTATTAAACGTCAAATTATGTTATGATTTTACAAATTAAGCACCAAAATATCATGTTTTACAACAAATCAACAGAATAAGCAGTTCAAGACACAATAATGTTATGTAGTAATGACTGTATTTACGAATTTAGCATCAAATCATGGCAATGAATTAAAACAACTGTGGATCTGGGCAAGAGGCAGACCACGCTGGATAATACAGAAAGTCGGATGAGCAAAGGTTGAATAAGCGAGACTCTACTGTATCTGTCTTTTATGCCTTTTCCCCCAAAAAGGGAGTTGCCTCTGACCACACCTAGATCACTTAAACTTCTGAAACTGTGGGTGCCGACCCCCATCAGCATCCCTTTAGCTTGGTGTTGAGGCCATTAAAAAACTGGCAACAATAAAAGATTTCTGAATGCCACACAGAAAATGCTACAGTGGACTCCACAGAAAAAGCAAAATCAGCCTGTTTAGTAAGTCTTGCAAATGATGATTTATTATAATTGTCTGGTTTTTATACTAATTTTATATACCTATATGACCCTGGGGTCATACAAAATAATTTCAAGTGGAAAATGTTTAAGAAGCTATGCTCTAGGACTACTTTAACCGACAAGAAAAATGACATCTGACATAAAATGTAGACCTGTTACTCTAACATTGTTGCTTTTCTTCTTCTATATCATTTCTAACATCTTTACTTAATGAATAAGCCTGCATGATATATTTTATGCCTTGGAGTTACCCTGTAAAAATTTTGCTGCTTGGATTCCATATTTCATTGTATTTAACAATAAGGAAATTAACCATGTTTGAACCGTTTGACATATTCTAAAAACTCCCACAGTGACACCACAGAGATCCCAGAGAAAAAAACAATAACACAAGGAAAGGAGGGAACACACATTAGATATAATGTGTATATATAAATATACTAAAACATATATTTCTTTGCATAAGAAATATATCACCCGATAGGAAACATTCTCAGGCAGATCTGGAAGATCCAGAAAAATACTGCATTACCTGTAAGCAGCCTCAAAAAGTTCTCTTGCTGCAGTGGCATACACAGATTGAGTTTGGTTTTTTCCTTCCCTGAAAAGAATATTAGTTCCAATTATATGAAAATAAGGCAAAATTGTCTCTACTCATTTGTCCAATCACATACAAATATATAACTATACCACCCATTATGTGATCCATTATGCAATGGCGTGATCCAGTTTAGTTTTACACTATTGTAATCTTACAACATCAGGTGGGATGGAGCCTATTGTGTAATACAGAAATATAAAGCGATTGATAAAAGGGGATCTCTCAGAAGGACAATTGTAAAGGTGTTTCCTTTGTTAGAGGTTCATCTCTTTTAGAAGAAGAGAATACAAGCCTCCAATACTTACTAGTTTCGCTTTTGCTGATTTAATTATTCCCAAATTTGATTAAAATGTTTTTTCTAAGCATCTGCCTGGGGAATCCATTGTTGGGAGATGTTAGCTGGCCCTGATTGGTTTTTGTCTGGCACAACCAGCCAGGCTTTGAAGCTGCAATGCCATTTGCAACATTCACACTTGCCTCGAGCAGACAATAGTTCTTTCTACCACCCTGGACATTCCACAGGTATATAAACCCCACTGGCCTAATTTCCAACAGACCCCTCAACCTCTGAGGATTCCTGCCATAGATGTGGGTGAAACGGCAGAAGAGAATGCTTCTGGAACATGGCCATACAGCCCGGAAAACTCACAGCAATCCAGTGATTCTGGCCATTAAAACCTTTGGCAACATAGGCTCTGTACAATTATGAATTCTAACAAAAATTGCTATTTTTAGAAAGGCTTTGATGTAGAAATGTTTAATATGTTGTATGGGCTTGTTTAAAGCAATAGGAATAACTTTACAAACAAATTATTGATTCTTTAGAGATGATAAAATGTTGCTTTTCACAAAGTATTCTGAATCTTGAAAATATACTGGCCTTGCTATGTTTGAAGTAAAAAATGTTGCACTCCACAGGTGCCTCACCTTTTAAACTGACGTCCTTCTTTACTACAACTTTGTTAAAACTCCCTACTTGCCTATTGTCATATGTATATACTTTATTATAACTTGGATAAAATATAATTGGCATAAGAAAGAAAGGCTGGTTGTTTTAGGTAATTTAGGCAGCCAAAAGATTGTAACAATCTATGAAGGGAGGATATGAAATTGGTCTGAGCTTTTGTTTCTACACATATGCCTTTTTTTGTAGGCATCCTTTCTTGCAAGAATTGTGATAAAATATTTTACTGCTCTTCCAACATTTCCAGACTTGTTTTTGTGAGTGGTCAGTGTACACAGTGTGGCAATTTTAAATATCGAGTGTGAAAGATCTTGTCTCAGAAAATGAAATCTATCACTCTGCACCCTATGATAAGTTTGTGTCTAAACTTTACCTTACAGCATCAGTCAAGTATTGTAAACCTGGATAAGTGACCTCAGATAGGAACTTCATGTAATAATACTGGGTCTTTGGGCTTGATTTAGCAAAGCAGAGGTTGGCGAGGTCTGTATTTCCAAAAAGGCCTTAAAGTAAAAGAAAGAAAACATTCTGTTGTGAAATCCTGATAGACGGACACATGACTGACAAGCAATTCCAGAATATCATGTATTATGAATAAGATGCAACCAAAGTTGCTTCCTCCTTCTGCTACGGTTACCTTCGTTGTCCTTCCTCTCCATTCTTAGTAACTTTAAGCCCACACAGGTCTCTAGCAGCCTTTTCATTCCTATGTGGCTGGTGCCCAAGCGTTCAGCGATAACTGCTGAACTCAGGAGCTCTTTTGATTCCAAAAGTAGATCGAAAACTCCCAATTCACAGGCAGTAAACACAACCTGAAAACAAAAGAGCAACATTCAAAAACCTCAATGCAAAAATGTCTAGTTGTTGATATACCTTATGTATTTAAAACACCTTTCTAGCATCAAAGAACAGCTTCAAGTGACATGGCATAAACAAATCAAATGCATTATTGAAATTACATCTTTAAGGTATATATAAAATGCTGTTAAGATGCATGGTGTACCAATATTGCATAACCATTGCAGTATGATACTAGTTCAACTGCCATTGCTTGGAAAAGGATATTGGCTGCAATTGCAAGGGTTATCACAAAATGGGTTGTCACACAAAATGGTCATCACAGAAGCATAGCCAGTCAGAAAACATTGAATGTAACTCTTTATATAGTAATTCCATGATAAGGAAATGTTACATGGTATCCCTTATATAAAATTGTTGTTGTTAATTCATTCAGTCGCTTCTGACTCTTCGTGACCTCATGGATCAGCCCACGCCAGAACTCCCTGTAGGCTGTCACCACCCCCAGCTCCTTCAAGGTCAAGCTAGTCACATCGAGGATCCATCTTGCGCTTGGCTGGCCCCTCTTTCTTTTTCCTTCCATTTTCCCCAGCATCATTGTCTTCTCTAAATTTTCCTGTCTTCTCATTATGCGGCCAAAATACTTCATCTTTGCCTCTAATATCCTTCTCTACAGTGAAAAGTCGGGCTTTATTTCCTGAAGTATGGACTGGTTGGATCTTCTCGTGGTCCAAGGCACTCTCAGAACTTTCCTCCAACACCACAATTCAAAAGCATCTATCTTCCTTGGCTCAGCCTTCCCTATGGTCCAGCTTTCACATCCATAGGTGACTATGGGGAATGCCATTGCTTTAACTATGCGAATCTTTGTTGCCAGTGTGATGTTTCTACTCTTCAATATTTTATCGAGCTTGGTCATTGCTCTCCTCTGAAGAAGTAAGCATCTTCTGATTTCCTGGCTGCAGTCTGTGTCTGCAGTAATCTTTGCACCTAGAAATACAAAGTCTGTCACTGACTCTACGTTTTCTCCCTCTATTTGCCAGTTATCAATCTCCTCAGGCTCCTCAGCTCCTCCTCGCTTTCGGCCATTAAAGTACATATCTAAGGTTGTTAATGTTTCTTCCAGCAATTTTTACCCCAGCCTTGGATTCGTCAAGCCATACACATCGCATGATGTGTTCTACATACAAGCTGAATAGGTTGAGTGAGAGTATACAACCCTGCTGTATGCCTTCCCCAGTCTTGAACCAGTCTGTTGTTTCATGGTCTGTTCTTACTGTTTCTACTTGGTCCTTATACAGATTCCTCAGGAGAGAGACAAAGTGATTTGGTATGCCCATACCACCAAGAACTTGCCACAATTTATTATGATCCACACAGTCAAAGGCTTTAGAATAGTCAATTAAACAGAAATAGGTGTTTTTCCGTAACTCCCTGCCTTTCGCCATTATCCAGCTGATATTGGCAATTTGGTCTCTCATTCCTCTGCCTTTTCTAAACCCAGATTGTACATCTGGCAACTCTTGCTCCATGTATTGCTGGAGTCTTCTTTGCAGGATCTTGAGCATTACCTTACTGTATGAAAGTTTGAGCAGTCTTTCATTTCCCTTTTTTGGTATGGGGATATAAGTTGACTTTTTCCAGTCTGATACCCATTCTTGTGTTTTCCATATTTGCTGACATATAAAAATTTGCAGGCATATATAAAATTACCCCCTCCCCCCCCCAAAAAAAAAGAAAGAAAGAAAGAAAGAAAGAAATTTGCTTTTGGATGTTTTTGTATGTTTTTGAAATATATATTTTCAAGCCATCCATGATTAAATCCCAGGATGCAATATTTGTAGATATAGAGAGATGACTGTAGTTTACAAAATGGTTATAAAGTGCAGTTTATTATCATCATTTCATCTGTGGTGTTGCTTGCCTTATTCCTATATTACTTGCAACCAGAACAAAATGTATTGAAAACTGTAACAGATTATAACAAGAGCAATTGGTAATTGAAACAAACAAAAGACAATGTTATACCATATATTCTTTTCTTTTTTTTGTCGTGTCAGAAGCGACCGCTCCTGTTGTGAGAGAATTGGCCGTCTGCAAATATTCTGTGAAGCTTTGAAAAGAATTGATAATCTAATATTTGAATTGATATAATTTGTAGATCTCACCTTTGAAATGATAAATCCAAACTGATGCTGCAATAAAGTTTTAATAATTTCATTATCTTCTGCAGAAGCCATCCTGCGTCAAGTTTCAGTCTTGTCCCCCTCAGCTAAATTCCAAGACTGCTTCTCAGGTCAGAACACTTCTCTTCAAGGCCCCAAGGAAATCTAATCTCACCTTATTGCTGTGCTAGATGTGCTATATATCTCTGTTGTGAAACACGGGCCTTTAAGATATAGTTAAAAGACAACTTCTCTGTGCAGTGGATTCGACCTCAAAAAGTTACTCATTACTTAAAGGCTTGGATGTTTTCCAAGAGACCCTGTCTACAGAATATTTGTCCAGATCCAGAAAGGGGGGAGGGTGTAAGTGTGGTGTGATTTCAGCTCCACTAAAACCAAGGATTCCGGACCTGAAGTGTCAAGCTTACAAAGGATCAGATAGGACACATACAGGTTGAAGGCAAAATTAGAGGCTTGATTCTCAGTGGCCAGAGAAGATGTCAGTGGAGAGAGCTTTCCAAAGATCTGACATACTCCAATGCAAGCATGCAGAAATATTGCACTTTGACAGTAATTTGAAACAAAGGACTTCCACTGCCCTGCATGTTGATTGGTCCAGGTTGTGGTAGGCTTGGATGTGAAGGCTGGTTGGCTGGGATGTACTGTCTGTCGTTGTTGCTGATTGGTCTCCAAATTTGGAGGGAAAATTGTCATTGCTCAGTTTGTCGCCATCGCCGGGGTGTATAAAGGAAACAATGCGGGTGGGTTTGAAGTGATGGATGCTCTTTATTGCTGACTTTATCTCTTGTTGTCATGCCACACATGCTTCTTTCCATTGCTCTCTGAGTCACTGTCCATTTTTCCTTCTCCAACTTTGTTGTTGCCCATGTTTCATATGCATATAACATTGCTGGTAAGACTGTAATGTTGGTTATATCTGCTCTGATTTTCATTGGCAGCTTATCATCTGTTAGCACTGGTTCTGATTAAGTCCAAGTAGTCTTGCGTCTTCTTGCACCATTTGTCAAATTATTTGACTGTACTTGTTGACCAAGATATACATATCCAGTCATGTCTGCAATTTCATCTCTGTTTAAAACAATGTGGCTCTGGACACACTGCTCACATTTCATCCATTTTGTTTTCTTCAAGTTTATTTCTAGTCCTATTGATTTTGAGAGTCATGCTAGTTGTTGGAGATCATGTTGTAAATCTTCTAGATTTTTGGTGAAAATAACAGTTGTCTGCAAAGAGGAAACGACAAAGTCGTTCTCTGTCAATTGAAATCCTGCCTTTAAATTTGACTTTTCGGAAGACGCTTTCCAAAGTCACTGCGAACAGTTTTGGCAATATTGTGTCTCCTTGATGCACTCCTTTGTTTATTCTGATATGACACTTCTGACAACAGTTTAATATTAGTTGCACACCCTGTATTGATGCTTTTAATCATGTTCACATATGCTGGATTAACACCAGCTTGGTTCAGAGTGTTAAGGACTTACTAAATGAAAACAAATGAGATAAAATATAAATATAAACAATTCCCCTAAAAACCAAAACATATTCCCTTTCCCAAGCCTCACCTATTCATCCACTAAATATGTACAATCACTACACACCTCCTGACTCACACCCTAACAATAAACAAGAGGTCAGCAACCAGTCACTTCTTCTGTCTCACAAAGATTCAGTCTTGACTCAAGCCATAAGCCCATTAGATGGCCCTCTCACCCTTTTGTTCTAAATTCAGAATCCCATCAGGACACCCAGACACCAGTTGTTCAAATCTGGGAATCTCATGAGACCCATGTGCCCAGGGGTAAGCTCATCAACTACCCTTTGATTTCCATGACCCAGGCCCATATTCTTTCCCAATCTTCTCCTCTCTTAGTGGTGGATACAAATGGACAGCAGACATCTTAAAATGCAACCAGTGATAGTTTACTCCACATTATAGACCAATCACAAACTACAAATGAATGCACTTTTAAATACTTGAGATTGTGGGTCCTAATTTGCACCAACCACAGACTGTAAATGAATGTATGTTTGAACCATTAAGAGTGCGGATCCTGAAAGTGAACCAATAGTCTCTGTTTTTCATGTTATTCAATGTGTGTAATTCTATATATAATACTCATGCTTGTACCTGGAAAACACGCTGGATTTGGGAAATGCTGGGGGCCCCAGTGTCCTTTCTGGCCAGAGCTAAAGAAAATAATTTCTGTTCCTGCCTTCAGCTCCTATGTTTTTCATTGGGCCAATTTGGAGCTGTAGCACACTGGGGGGACTTAAAATTTTAAATAAAAATCCCATCTATTTTTGGAAGCTGAGCAACATCAGTCCTGGGTTAATACTTGGTAGACTGCCAAGGAATATTAGATGTTTAGGTTAAATTTTAGATGAATGAGCTAACAAAACATCTCTGTATATTCCTTGACTAAGAAGACCCTATGAAAAGAATGAGGTCACCATACGTTGACAAGCAACTGGAAGGAGCATACACACAAAGAATATCTGGTTCTCAATGACAACAGTATCTTTCTCCATGCCCTTTTCATACTGTTTCTTCTTGCCCTTTTCATACTGTTTTTTTTTTTTTTGCTATATTGTATATCTCTGAAAAATTATTTTAAAAAGTAACTGGTACTAATTCGTGGGGGGGAGGGAGGACTTCCCTTCATGCAGTGTTGTTTTCTGTGGACAATCAGTAATTCAATACTTTATTATTATCGTTTTCTGTAGGCTATTGATAGAGAACCAAATGAATTCTATGAGGGTTATCCGGAAAGTAAAGTTTTGAGGCACATAGCTCTTGCAGGGAATTTTCGCGGGAGAAGTTGATATCACTGCCATGTAGTGGGAAGCCAGTGGAAGCGAATGAGCAGTGTCAGTCACCATTAGCTCACCAACTGACGTTGTGGTGAAGGTTATTGATGAGTGTCCTCATTCTGTTTCCCTTCAAGTGCAAAGTTTGCAGTATATGAGTGATATCCAAAAAACAAGGTTACAAGATTTAAAAAATACAAAGAAAGAATATATTTTAGTAAAATTTACATAGATTATAGCATAGGTATTACATTATTTTTTCACATAATCACCATTTAGTTCAATTTTGTCATCCGTGGGATGAGTTTTTGATGCCTGTGTCATAGAAGTCTCCCGCCACCTTTTTCGGCCACATCATCAGTCACAACACAGAGATGTTCACTTCTGTCTTCATCATAAATTTCTGTCCTTCTGCAATTGAAATTCATACCCATTTTGCCACATACTGTCTTGACTTTATGTCCTCTCCATAAGCTGAAATGATCTTGTGATGAATTGCAGTGGTGTTCATGCCCTTAGCATTTAGGTAGCATGTTACAGTACAAACTTCACACTTGGAGGGAAACAGAATGAGGACGCCAATTTCTAACCTTCACCACAACACCAGTCAATGAGCTACTGACAACTGACTCTGCTTGTTCACTTCCGCTAGCTGCACAGCAGTGATACCAACATGTACCTTGTAACCTTACTTTCCAGATAACCCTCATACATGATGACGAACTCTTAATCTCATCATCTGTCACCATTGGCCAAATAGGCTGGGTCTGTTGGGAACTAGAGTCTAACAACATCCAAAGATCCAAACATTTCCATCCCTCTTTAAGATCTTAAATAAAAATTAAGGAGAGAACATTTTATTTTCTTCCATAAACAACACCAAAATATCTTCTTTTCTTGAACTGAACATCCTTGAAGCCAGCTCCATGTAGGAATGCATTGTACTCGGATGCGGTCCGTTCTTTTCCTTCAAGGAAAACCAACATCAATAAGGAGTAGAGACTGGCTGATAAGGGCCCACTTCTGTCTTCATTAAGAAGCTGCTCCACTACTAAAACACCACCACCTGTTAATATTATTTAGGAAGGAGAAGATATCATTACCAATTTCTGTACCTTTTTGAGAAGCTTTTATCATGATCCCTCTCATGCGAAATATTTGAAAATGTGAGTCAGAGAACAAAAAAAGAAAATATGTTTTCTGGAATTGATCTACAGGAGGAGTGCACAATGCTTTTATACCACACTAACTTCAACATATGCACATGTACACATCAGCAGACATGAATGGAAAAACCTAATTCTTCCACCCCTATCCAGTGAGATCTAATGATCAAGCAGTTGGGAATAATTTGGAGAATGAAATGGGAATAGCAAGGATTTATACTGAGACTACAAATTCCCAAGGTGTTTAGCTGGAAATGATTTTCCCACTGTAGCACAAGAAATTCTGGAATGGCCTTGGAACTTTAGGGGCATGGGCAGCTGAATGGAGATGGATCTGTCTTTCTCCGCTGTACACATATTCAACAGATCTATTGCTGCATCACCAGTTACAAGCAGCTCCCTGGCAGAGGTCTTTTGGTGATGTTGTTTTTGGTGAGTTCATATAAGGGAGTCCAGACATGTAACCATGTAATGAGTGTCTGGAATTCCATACCATTAGCAGTGCACACAATTAATGACAGAAAATGCAGTTCAGCAACATTTTTTACTTTGGCCAGATCTGCTTTACCTGAGTCTCTGAGGCCCCTTCTACATTACCATGTAATCCAGATTACCAAATCAGATAATCCACATTATCTGCTTTGAACTGGATTATATGAATCTACACTGCCATATAATCTAGATCAAAGTAGACAATCTGGATTTTATATGGCAGTGTAGAAGGGGCTATACTTTGATCCTACCATGTATTGGATGATAAAAAAAATCTTGGACACATCTACACTGACTATTTAAGGCAGCTTTAAGAAACCTGCAAGCAGCCACATCTAGAAAATGCAGCAGGTATTAAAGGTTTTTAAGCACATCGAGCCAAGTTGGAGGAAAGTCCAAGCTAAACTCCTTAACGTGCTTCATCAAGCCCCAAATCTAAACCAGACTACATGATGAAATTAACTCTGTAGAACATGATATGCATTATAGACACAACAGCACTACCACACTGGAGCACATTTAAAATTTGAAACTAACTAGGTGGGCTGCCAAAAAAACACTCCAAGAGGCCAATTGGAACAGATCATTGATTACCCCACTGCAAACTATAATATTCCTATTTTTGCCCATCTGCTATGCTCCAAAACACGCATGCATCTTGATATGAAATTTGAAAAAATACTGTGGATTCTGGACCAATTTGAAGCCAGCTTCCTTGAATAATGTAGTCACTTTCCTCACATCAAATCTGTTCCAGATATGTCACTCCAATATCTGCATAGCAAAACTAATTTCTCTCAAACTGGTTCCAAAACAATCTAAGTGGTCAGTATAGATATACACATTCTTTCAAATATGACTCATTAATTAATGGTCCTTTGAAGATAATGGGTCTGAGAATATTGTATTTACTGGATCCTTTGAAGATAGTGGAAAGAGTAAAAAAGGTCTCCAGAAAAAAGGGGGAGTGGAATAGTATAGCTCAATTGTAGTGCACATGCGAGGAATGTTAATGACCTAAGGTTCAATTTCTGGCCCTTCCATATAAGACTGGAAAAGATCCTTCATCACACTAGAGAAAAAATCCACTTAAAAATCTGGTTTCTGCCCCCTGCAGAATTCTGGGGTTTGTAGTTTGGGAGGGAGCCTTTCACAGCCTCAAACTACAAACCCCAGAATTCTGCAGGGGGCAGAACCCAGATTTTAAGTGGGTTTTTTCTCTAGTGTGATGAGGTAGTAAATCTTGAAACCCAGGATTATTGATGTTAGTTGTTGTAGACCTCAGGCTAGACGAGGTCTCCTATGAGCAAATTATAAACAATATACGATATATGGTGAGACCAGGAAGTTTTGCCTGTCCATCATATATTGTACAAAGCAGTCTTGTCCCCATCCACATTATCTAGGTACACATACCAGGTTTACAAGCCTTGTGTAGTTTAGTTAGCAGAGCTACACACTTCTCATCATCCAAGCAATGGAGAATTCTACACAATATATACAGATCAGCTTCAGGAACGGGATCGTTTAAAAAATTGCCTGTAATATTAGAGGAAGACATCTGTTTATTTTGTTTCACAAAAAGAGCAATTATTTCTATCTTTTATAAAACTCCATTTTACATTATATTACTATGTCTATATCATCTTTATATCTATATCTATCTTTGACTAATTTACAGACAGATTTTCCTCCAGAAGAAGGGATACCTAAGTGTTTAGGACTAATGTTGTGTCACAAAATTTAATGTGCAGATTTGATAAGTGTGGATTTAATTTCATGTGTGGACATGAATGGAAGAATGAATGAATGAGAGTTTAATAATTTTGGAAACATCAGTAAAATATTAAGGCCTGCAATGACTAACTACCTGCTTGTTGGACAGTAATTAAAAGTTGCTAATAAAAACTGGAAAAGGAAACTGTGATAAGAACTGGGACAGTGATAAGGAAATGTTTATAACATTCCTTATGTTAAGAAGGAAGTCAACACAAGACTAACATCAATCAAGAAGAATTAACATCTGCCAGGAGGTGAAGACTTAAGATAATTTCAAACAGGATAATTATTTACTACATCAGAAGAAATATTCCTATAAAAGACTCAATCTAGTAATTCTCAAATTGTGATGGACATCGGAGCTGTTCAACTGCCTCTCTGTTCCATGGGAAGAACAGACAAGGTCTATGGAGAGTGGCAGATTTGCACAGGAGCAGTCTGGTCACTTTGGCCTTCTTTTTCAAGGAAAGAGGAAGAAGTGTGTTTTGGAGTCATGATACATTTGCATGGAGTCAGATTCTGATGTAGGGAAAACAGGGATCTGATCCTTCCATTGTTTTTAGGGAAAGGGAAGTTTTGTCATTTTAGAGGCATTTTGGCATTATGGAAGTTTTGGAACTGTGCGTTGGTAGAATTCAGGGAAACAGGGTCTGGCCTAAGAAGGTGTTCTTCTCCAAGGAGGGAGAAAAAGATATGATAACATTTGTATGCATGAGGATGAGTGAATGGTCATATGTGTGTGAATGCTGAATAAAAAAGTAGTTGCACCTTTTGTTTGTTAGCTAATGTAATAGGTGTTTGTGAATCCAATGTAGTTGCATAGTATCTGTATATCTCTGTGTCCAATGTTATTCTTTGTGTAAAAGTATAAAAGTTCTGTAAAAGTTCTTATATGCCCTCTCACACTGGGAATTGCAATAAAAGAACATATACTTAAAAGTTATTGAAATGTTATTCATGACATTATTGAGGCTGGAGGGCCGGAGGTTTAGCACAGCTTGTAAATCATCAGCAATTATAAGATCTATGAACCAAAAGGTTGCAAGTTCAAAGCCCCAAGTTGGCGTGAGCTGCCAACTGGCAGCCTAGCTCATTGTTTACTTAAGCAATTCGAAAACAGCATTAGCTGTAATTAGAGAAATTAGGTACTGCTAAATAGTGTTTTACGATGCCATAAAGAAAGAAGATCAGAAAATGCTGGGCGACCATGAGGAAGGAGGAAGTCCTGACGGCTCTTCGTCATAGAGGAAAGAGAAACAGCACCCCCTGGACTTGAGCCCAACCTTCCATGGCACTGCCTTCTGTTCTGTCTGTCTGTGTATTGTCTATACAAAGCAGCATTGAATGTTTGCTGTGTATATGTACTGTGATCCACCCTGAGTCCCTTTGGGATGAGAATAAAGTGTTGTTGTTGTTGTTGTTGTTGTTATCTACACTGCCATATAATGCAGATTATCAAATTTGAACTGGGTTAGATGAGTTTACATTGTCATGCAATTCAGTTCAAAGCAGATAATTGGGATTTTATATGGCAGTGTAGATGGGGCCTGAATCACTCCAGTTGTAACTACACTATTGAATCAGTGCAGTTTGACACCACTTTAAATTGCCATGGCCCAATGCTATGGAATACTGGGATTTGTGGTTTGGTAAGGCACCAGCCCACTGGTAAAGAAAGTTAAAGACCTAGTAAAACTACAACTCCCACGGTTCCGTAGCATTGATCATGGTAATTAAAGTTTGAAAGTACCCTCTGATTCATGGAAAGTCTAATGCAGCTGACAATTATAGGAACATATAATGTTTGCATGATTCAAAGCAATGTATAATTAATAAAATATTAATTTATGGTAGAAACAGGAGTACTTGGGATAAAAGGGACATTGTATTTAGTGTCTTGGGAATGCATCTTGGGATAGGAAAGGAGACACACAAAAGGAAATGAGCTATGCTTGCTTGAAAGAAAATTCCATATAGTTGGATTACTGAGAAAATGACTCCATTTTCCAGACAAAGGAAATAAATTGTGGAATTAACTTCTTTATGAGAAAGGAAATTTCCTCAACTGGTATGAAAGGCAAAATCCCTCAGGATATAAAGAGGGGGGAAATGGAAAGGCTTGTCTAGTGCTTAATTGCCTCCTCTTCCAATGATGCTTCCTTGCTTCCTAATACAATAAAGTATACACAGCTGATCACTGCTGCTTTTTAAATGTACATTGTAGAGGAAAGCATTGTCCAATGTTTAAACGTAGTTACATTCACGGAAAGCATATCTTACCACTCTGGAAAGCATATCTTACCACTCTGGAAAGTAATCTGGTGTTCCTCTGAAGACACAAAATGCTTCTTTCCTCTTTCCACAACTTCAGGCAAGTCAAAAATGGTCACAGTAGAATTTGGGTACAATGAAGCATATATTTTGGCAAAGTAGCCACTGCCTCCTTTGAAAAAAACAAAATGTAAAGCAAAACCCTCATTATGTTGTGTCTTTTGAACTGCTTCCTAAACCTTCTACATAAAATTTCATCCATAATTTCAGGGTCAGATAATCTGGATTTTATATGGCATATGCTTTTGAAACACATACATCATAAAGACATAAAAGAAAAGATAACTTTAATAAAGCAGATGAGATTATTCTGAAGCGCAATTGACGAATATATTAAGGAAGAAAAAAGAGAAAGGAGAATCTTGTGGGAGAATGTGAGAAAGTGACTGAAAAATAAAGTGCAGTATCTTCCCTTCAAGTGTTGGAAATTATAACCTTCTTCAAGCCTCCTCTAGTAATTTGTTAATCTGTGATTGTGTTTGCTTATTGTTTTGTATGTATGTTCTGGTATGCAGCTTCTTTTGCGCTATGTTTCCTAAGAGGTTTTAGGAGGGGCTACAGACCACATGATCTGATCTGAGACTGCTCAGACCTCAGATTCCATTTTAAATCCTTCTTAGACTTTGAACTGCTAAGAGCAAACACTTGCTGTCGTAAGAAAGATGCCCTGTGCCATCTGCACACAGATTATCTCAAACATATCTGAAACTGGACTGATAGATAAGCTATGTACTTATGTTATGCTGAGCACGTGAAGTTGTGAGTAAATCAAATATGTTAATTTACCAAAGCCTACTTCATTTTTGTCTTTTGAGTGCATGATATAAAACAATTTGTTTTATGAGAGACTGAAAACAGTTCTGAAACTCTGCTGTTTTTATGCACAGGCAGGCCTGTAGCGAGGGGGGGGGGTTAGGAGTTCAACCCCCCCCCCAAATGTTTCAGATTAAAAAAAAACTGGTTTACTTATGCATTTTAACTGGTTAACCAAATCCCCATGCTAAGTCTATGAGATGCAAAAAAATTAAGAGTCCTTCCAGAACTGCAAGCACTATCTCAAGCAAATATTGACAATTTATTATTATTATTGTTGTTATTATTATTATTATTTACTGTATTTATTATTATTATTGTTATTATTATTATTATTATTTACTGTATGAGCCCACGAGGACCTTGAGATCGTCTGGGGAGGCCCTTCTCTCGATTCCGCCTGCCTCGCAGGCGCGTCTGGCGGGGACGAGAGAGAGGGCCTTCTCAGTGGTGGCCCCCCGGCTGTGGAACGCCCTCCCTGCTGACATCAGACAGGCGCCCTCTCTCATGGCTTTCCGTAAGAGCCTAAAGACCTGGCTCTTCGAGAAGGCATTTAACTAGTGCCAGACTAACTGACAATGACAATGACAATCAGAACGGAATACGGATTATGAGACTGGTAGATCCCTGTGTGGTGACGGTGCGGATTAGTTTAGTGAAATTTAGAATAAGTGTGTTATATGGTTTGTTGATGTACTCTGTGCTATTTGTAAATTGTTTTTTATATGTTGTACACCGCCGCGAGTCGCCCTAGGGCTGAGAGCGGCGGTCAACAAATCCATTAAATAATAAATAATAATAATAAATAATATTTGTATACCGCCTTTCTCAGCCTATCGGTGACTCAAGGCGGTTTCCAACAAAACAGTATACATAGTATCATAATACAATTTAAAAACATTAAAATTACATAAATCACAACAGCAATTGAAACAACATCATTGGTGTCTCCTTATTGTCAAGCATTGTCCAATTCCATCATCAGTTATCCGTTCCTATATCAGTTGTCTGTATCTGTTACTCTGTGTTTGTGAATGCTTGCTCAAACAGCCACGTTTTGAGTTGCTTCCGAAACGTTAAGAGGGAGGGAGCAGATCTAATCTTTCTGGGGAGGGCGTTCCATAGCCGGGGAGCCACCGCTGAAAAGGCCCTGTCTCTCGTTCCTGCCAAACGTACCTGTGACGAAGGCGGGGCTGAGAGCAGAGCCTCTCCGGACGATCTCAAGGTCCTAGATGGTTCATAAGGGAAGATACGTTCGGACAAGTAAGTTGGGCCAGAACCATTTAGGGCTTTATAGGCTAGAACCAGCACTTTGAATTTATTCACACTGTCATTACTTGCAGCAATAGCCGATGTAGTGAAGCAACCAAGTAGGGAGGGGTGTTGAATGCTCTCATTAAGGAGGCCAGACTTGGAGGAGGTGGTTGACAGTCGCGGAGCTGCAGGCTATTGAAGGCTGCTCTGCCCCCTGCTGTGCTCTTCGCTTCAGCATGAGGTAGGAGGCAGGTTTCAACCCCCACCGTGAAATTTTCAACCCCCCCCCCCCGAAAATTTCAACCCCTCCCGAAAATTTTTTCTGGCTACGGCCCTGTGCACAGGCATATTCTGTTTTCCTAACAGATAAGGGACAATAGGTTCAGTCTAACAACTGAAGACATTGCCTTGCATATTACATTTGGTTGTATACCATATGAGAAGATTCAATTCAAATGGGTTTTTGGCTCTTCTCTGAAAGATCAAACTTTTCCAAAAGGTTATGATCTCCAAATGGTTGTGAATGCCATTTTCCAAAATTAAGTAACTAACATTTATTTATTTTTAATACATTTTTATTAAACATTTTGCAAAATAAACATACATAAAGGGGGGGGGAGGTAGTGATCATGGAAAAAAGGGAAGGAGGGGAATCTAATTTGAAGACAGTGGAGTTAGATAGTCAAGGGGGAGGTGTTAGATTAGTATATATAAAGAGATAGATAGAGAGAAATTGTCTATCAGGAAGGGTTAACGGGGTATGGGATGGGGGAAGGAGAAGTTTGGCTTCCCAATCTTCTTCTCTGCATTTTCTTCTATGTTTACCAAACTTCTATCTTCCTCATCTCTTCGGCTTAAGTTTTTGATTGTTTTTGGTTCTTTTTCTCCTGTATGGACCTCCCTAATTATGTAGTTGGTGACCAATTTCTCATATAATCTTCAAACCTTTTCCAGTCAGTTTTCCTTACTGGTCTTCCAGTAAGGTCTTTCAAGTAGAAAGTCAGTTTGTCCATATCTTTTATTTCCCAAACATTGTTTAACCATTTTTCTTCAGTCGAAATATCCTTTAATTTCATTTTCTAGCATAGACTATTCTGGCCGCTGTCGTTAAATATGTGAATATCTTTGTTTGCATCTAGCTTTATTTCTTCATTGGTGATACCTACTAGGAAATATTCCGGCTTCATCTGTATTTTAATTTTTAGGGGTTTTTTTACTTACTACTTGTATCATTTTCCAGTAGCTTCTAGCTTTGGGGCAAGACCACCATAAATGGTAAAAAGTTCCAATTTGTGATTAACATTTCCAGCATTTCTTATTACTTTTCTTATACATTAGACCTAATTTTTGAGACCTATGGAACATCTTATACCGGTTTTCTTTGAGTTCTGTTGCATATGTGTATTTCATTTTTTTTATTCCATATCAACTCCCATTCTTTGAGTTTGATGGGTCTGCCTATATTGGTGGCCCATTTAATTATGCATTCCTTCACTCTTTCCATTTCCGTAGCCCATTCCAGAAGAAGAATGGGCTAGAAGAATGGGCCAGAAGAATGGGCTACGGAAGAAGAGTGGGAACCTTATAAGGAATTTGTAAATATAAGATCCTACTTGCCTGCCTGCTTCCTCTTATACAATGCTTTCCAATTTTTTTTGACCAGGGGCCACTTGGACCAGGGACCACTTAATCAGAGACCACTTTGACCAGGGACCACTTTCCAACATTAGTACCAAAAAGCTTACAAATCAGATTTTGGTCAGCTTTAGATTCAATTTGGTTATTTGGGGGTGCTGATTCGGAAAATGGCATTGGATAAACCACATCAGTTCTAGTTTCTGATACAGAACACATGCCATCCACTAGTTGCCATTTGGTCGCTCACAGAAAACCATAATTAATAATCTAGAGCAGAGGACCTTATTTTAGGTCTTGCAGCCCACCAGTAGGCCACGGCCCACAGACTGGGAACCACTGCTCTGATATGACCAGCATTTCACTTTACAGTGTGTATTGCTTGCTTGCTTATTGCTTATAAGTCTCGCTGAGTGATTTAAGTTAATCATAATCACATGATTAGGAAAAATTCTTAAAAATCAGTGAATGACCAAAACATCCTGAAACTTTGCAGGGTGGATGCCATGCAGAAATTGAAGGGGATACCTTTTTTAGTTTTTTAAATATTATAAAAAATTTAAAAATTTCCTAAAAATCAGTGGATGACTTAAAAGTTCTGAAACTTGTCAGGCTTAAATCTATAAAGGTTGCCTACAAGTGTGCCAAGTTTCATCCTGATATCCATAAAAATGACAGAAAAACAAGCCTCAAAATGTTCCTGATTGCCGTTAATGGAACAAATCTTAACGAAGCAATTATGCAACTTGGAAAATTCAAATTATGAATTGAAATGACACCCCTCCAAATATATACAAATCAAAGGAGGATACATCCAAATCTCCAAAATGAATTACGAATCAAATTTTAGCCATTTCATAACCTCTAGTAGAAGGTATATTTGTGGGGGGGGGGTGTCGGTGGGGGGGTGTGTGAGAAAAACAACCACCTTTACTATCAAAGACTCACAGGGATGGAAGGCAACTTGAGAGGCCATCCCCCAAAGTATTGGGTTTCAAACTTCAAGTAAAGGAATGTAACTGAGAATTTGGGGTACTTACCTCCCAGATCACAAACGGCATGGAGACAAGAAAGATCAAAGGCAGATATCACTTCCTGACCAAACAGACTCCAGGCATCATCCATGGCACTGGAGAATCTTTGCCACTCTTCCTCCGATCTAAGACATCACAATTGAAGTGGAAAATAAACATTCATCTGACCTCTGCAATGATACATCTCATGTATAAATCTAGAAATTGTAGTAAAAAAATCAATCCACAAAACTTGGGTCAACTTAAATAAATGGGAAAGGGATTTGGGAATCATTACTATAGTTAAAATTTACTATGTTTAAAATTTGGAAACAAAGAATTATGAAAAATATGTCCATTAGAATTGAAGAGAATTGTTATAAAACAATTTGGAGATGACACATGACTCTAATAGTGTGAAGTTATTATAATAAAAACAACTTAAAAATGTTGGAGATGTAATAAGGAAACAGGGACTTGCAAACATTTATGGTGGGAGTGTGAAAGGATTTTAAAAAATGGGATAAAGTATTTGTTGAAATTAATGACATACTATCAACTAATCTACAAAAAATCCAAATATAGCACTTCTATTAAATTTTGGAGATATAAGATTGAAATGGCAAAAGAAAGAATTAATGGTAATTTTTGTTACTGCGTTAAGATTAGTTATAGCCAAAAAATGGAAAGAAAATTATGATTACAAAATTGATTGGTACAAGGAGGTGTGGAACATTGCAATAAATGATAAACTGACTTGTGAAATAAAATGTAAAAAAGGATTAATGAAAGGAAATGATTTTGAGGTAAAATGAGGTAAATTCTTAGAATATACATTTGTGAAAGAAAAAGGAATAAAACCAAATAATTTTGGAGAAGAGGTCAATATAAGAATCATTAATATTAATGATCAATAAATGTCCAATGGGTGGTGGGTGCATGTAGAGATAACATGTATTAAAATAAATGCTTAATTGTTTATCTAATTTATTGTATGTTTTGTGTTAATGTTAGTTGTGTGTGATTTGTATAATTTATTTATTTATTATTTATTTATTTATTTATTATTATTTATTTATTATTATTTATTTATTATTTTAAGGAAATTGGGGGGGGGATCTATAATTATGTTCCCAAACCTTTCCTATGATTTATATGTGAAGTCAACATGAGTATTTTCAATACTATTTCATAAACAAGGAATGCCCCTAACAGCATGCTAGGATTGCCACTGGGATACTGATTTTAGACATGAGTATGCGTGGGAGGAGGGAGGGTTGAGAAGAAAGTAATAAATTAATTCATCATTTTTCCATTTAGAAATGTTTTTAAACAATCATGTAGTGCTGTAAAAGAACGTTTGGCGTGGACAAACACAACAATACTGTGTGATTGGATATCAAGATGGGTTTGCTATTAGTGACTGATGCATGTGCAATTTCTCAGCAAAAGTGGTGGGGTATTTTTGTCTTCCACAGAAATCAGTATTGAATGGAAGGTTGCAGAAGCAGAGTTGCATATATGATGATCTTGCACCATTCCATTTTTAGATATGCAATGTGCATTACAATCTGCATTTCATATTTTTGTCTTTGCTTGCAGTTTCATTCTACGAATGCACAATCATGGAACTGTGAGTGTCAACTTATACATTATCTCTTTAATGTAGTATCTTTTTAAACAGAAAAATATTACTTTTACCTGGAAAGGTTCTTGTAAAGATCTTTTTCTGAAGTGCCAAATACTGTTTGATTCTGATTACTTCCTTCCCTGAAATAGAACAATATTTCAAATGCTTTTTTTATAAAAAGATAGCATAAGTAGCAAATTCAATGCCAAGTCTTCTGACTATATTGAACCTCTGATAATATAAGTACAAACATATTCTTAAAGGGAGATGGGGAAAACATTTTCAGCCCAAGGACCAAAAGCTATTATCTGATTGGCTTATTTGAGTGGCTTCCAGCAGTGGGAAGGCTGAAGAAGAATAGTGAGATGGACAGGAAAGTGGCCAAGATGTTGTTCATATTTAGTTTGAATTGTTAGTAGTGTGAACTATTTTATACATCATCATGAGTATGGAAATGTAGCAGAAACTGAAGGGAGAAAACCTAGGCACAGAGGGTGGCAAGCTGGGTTGAAGAGGCAATGAGAAGAAGACAATGAGGGTGAAGTAGCATGAGCTGGGGAAAAGGGGGAGGGAAGGAAAGGATGCAAATGGCAAAGTTAAAGGACAAAAAAAGGGTCAGAGGCAAAGAAAGTAGGGGAAAGGAGCGAAAAAGAGACAAGGAGGGTCGCATTGCAAGGATAAAAAGCGAAGCAATGTGGTAGGAAGAGGAAAGGGAGGGTGTGATGTGTAGTAAGAGAGAAAAGAAACAAGAGACTGAGTCTTTATGGGGAGCATGCTATTAGGGAAATAATCAAAAAGGAAAGAAGGGTGTGGGAGATTTTGCCATCCTTGGAGCAAGAAATGCCATGTGTTAAAGCTAGATTCTGAAGAGGAAGAAGCACTAGGGATCATAATACAAAGATACTAATGGCTAATCAAGCATAGAAGTATTTCATAAGAAAATCAGCCTGTTATTAACAAATTATAGCAAAGCCTTTGACTGTACATTTCATGAAAAAAAAATAGATCTCTCCAGAAGACACGTGTATGTCACAACATTTGATTCTCCATTATTCAATGCACACTCTGAATTGTTAGGCCATTGTTAGGATGCAACATAATGTTTACTAATTGGTTAGAATGCTATCCGTATTTCACCATTGTGTTTGTATAATTTATGTGTAGAATATACCATATGAGAGGGTGAATTGGGTGAAAGTGGTGTGAAAACTTGAAGAAGAAACACTAGACGCTGAGGCAAAGGAAATAACACTGTGTAACTATCAGAAACTAGCAAGATCTTGGAATAACTATTGGTAAATGTTATGAAAGAAAGTAAAAAAGGTATGTTTTCTCCTTACCTTACAGCCTTTGTCAAATACTGAATATTTGAATAGCCAAACTCAGATAAAAACTTAATGTATTGATACTGGGATTTTGGGCTTGATTTAGCAAGGCAGAGGTTGGCGAAGTCTGTGTTTCCATAAAGACCTTAAAACAAAACATTATGTTGTAAAACCTTGAGCGAAGAAGGATAACAGATAGATAACAAGTAGCGAGTTGGAGCACTGGGCTACAAATCTGGAGACCATAATTTCTATTCTCGTGAGCCCATGAAAAGCCAGAGGCTGGCATTGTACAAGTCACACTCTCAGCCTCAGCAGAAGACAAAAGCAAACCCACTCTGGACAACCTGTGATAAAGTTGCCTTAGGGTCTCCATAAGTAAGGAATGACTTGACGGCATGTAATAGCAAAAGACTGCCAGATCTCTTAGGACCTCATCACATGGAGATCCTTGATGCAGGGAAATCTATAAGGCAGCGGTTTTCAGTGTTTTCAGTGTTCATCCCCTGATGGGAGATAGGGGTACAAACTCTCTAGGTTTTGGGAGGAAGGGGGACTGAGTTCTAAGCAAGAGGAGATATTATTATTATTATTATTATTATTATTATTATTATTATTATTATTATTTGTGTGTGTGTGTGTGTGTGTGTGTGTGTGTAAATCACCACCTCAGCTAGATGAGTAACAACTTGCAAAACTTTCCAAGGATTAACTGATTGTATGTTGCAACTTGCAAATATTCTTCAGAGGGTCTATGACTTTCTTAGTTACTACCCTCCTTTTCTCCCAGTCATCATGGCAGAGGGCCTGAGCCTCAGCTCTGTATCTAGCTTTTGGTAGATTCAGTTTGTTTAGATATGAATTCTGTCTCCGCAAACTAACTGCGAGGGAGAAATCATTTTAGCTTAATTTGGAACCAGCTCCTTTAGCTAAATCTTAATTTTGTTATGGAAAGATATGTTCTCTCTATGTTTTATGGACAAGCTGCACACAACCTTTTCCCCCCAAAACCTGAAGACCTGGGATGATCCATCATTGCTTCCTCCTTCAGATATAGTTACCTTTGTTGTCCTTCCTCTCCATTCTTAGTAACTTTAATCCCACACAGACCTCCAGCATCCTTTGCATTCCCATGTGACTGGTGCCCAAGCGTTCAGCAATAACTGCTGAAGTCAGGAGCTCTTTTGACTCCAAAAGCAGGTCAAATACTCCCAACTCACAGGCAGTAAACAAAACCTGGAATTAAAGGAATAATGTGTAAAAAAGGAAAACATTCAGGTACTCTGCAGGTAAAATGGTTAATTTTAATGCTGTTGAAGTTATTTCCCATCTATAAATTTGCAAGGGATCAATAAACAGAACGTACACAAAAAGACAATAATCACTAACCTAAGACTCCCATAATAGTGAACTAACATACATTCAAATTTGATTAAGTTAAAAGATAATGAAAAATATCATCATTAAAATGCAAAGGTAAAATTTCAACCACAAAAATTAAAAATAAAGGTTAAAACAAAGGTTAAAATAGACTAGCTATTACACAATCCCAAACCACTTCAATTATCTGCATAATCCCTACAGTTTACCCCAATCGCCTCCACATACGCAGTTCTTAGCTGCGTTGCTGTATGAAGGAAAACAGCTGTTTGGTGTGTTATCTTAGCATTCTGGTCAGCCATTAAGAATGTAGTTTTGATATGGGGATCCCAGTGAGTCTTCTACATACCCTTTAATAGCAAGACATATATTTGAATAAGCACGGATATGCACATATTTTTGATGCCACACATTCAATTAAAAGGTGAAATGCTGATAGCTAACACTTTATACATTGATCTTACCTTTGAAATAACAAATCCATGTTGATACTGAAATAAAGTTTTAACCATTTCTTCATCACAATCCATCCTTAACTATTCTCTCAGATAAGTTCTCCTCAGATGTTTGTGTGCCTTTGCTATCTCTCAAGGCAAGAAGCTCCTTCTATTGCCACAAAGAAGGCATTTTATCTTCTTGCTATGCTGTTCTTGCGAAAGGTCATATTGTGAAACATAGGGGCCTTTAAAAATGGTTAATTGTCTGATGCCAAAAACGATGAAATGGATTTATGAAAATATGCCACTGTTGTCCATATGTAAAATGGAATGAGAGCAAAGAGTCACCTCACTAGCTTTTGATATATTTCATAGGAACATTTCAACAGTTTCTTAAATTATTGGGTAGTATCTACGATCTTGCTCTAGGGGATTATAAAATGAGTGGTAAAATCACATAGTCTCTGTGATCTATATTAGACAAAGGGAGGAAAGGCTTAATAACCAGACTATACAAATATATTCTACACTACAACTTGGAAGATAACCGTGTCAAAACCTCCACGATCTCATGGGTAAAAGATCTAGGGAGAAGTATAGATTTTGACATTTGGAAAAACCTTTGGAATAAAGGCTTTAAATTTACAGTGGCAGCTTCAATTAGAGACAACGTATATAAAATGTTCTACAGATGTTACACAACCCCAGCCCTCCTTGCCAAAATGGATAGCTCACAATCAGGTTCCTGCTGGAGAGGCAAAACAAAGAAAGGGACCTTTTTCATGCATGGTGGTCCTGTGAACTGGTGCTGGCCTATTGGAAAAGAATAATAAAGGAAACAAATAAAATGATCCACAACAAAGTTTAAAAAAATCCAAGGATGTGCCTGTTAGGGATATTCAGAGATAGATTAGAACAACCAGAAAGAGAAATTTGTCTGTACAGCTTTGCAGCTGCACGCATTACAATTGCCAAAGATTAGAAAGGGGAGAAAACATTAAGTATTAAAAATTGGAAGGATAAACTGTGGGATTATGCACAGATGGCTATGATTTCTAGCAATCTGAAATATGAAACTAGGTTCTTGTAGGTTTTTTCGGGCTATAGGGCCATGTTCTAGAGGCATTTCTCCTGACGTTTCGCCTGCATCTATGGCAAGCATCCTCAGAGGTAGTGAGGTCTGTTGGAAATAGGAAAATGGGTTTATATATCTGTGGAATGGCTGGGGTGGGGCAAAGAGCTCTCTGCTGAAGCTAGGTGTGAATGTTTCAGCTGACCACCTTCATTAGCATTTGAAGGCCTGGCTGAGCCTGGGAAAATGTTCTGTTGAGAGGTGTTAAGATGTGCCTGGTTGTTTCCTGTCTGCTGTTTTGCTGCAGTAATTTTAGAGTTTTTTAATACTGGTAGCCAGATTTTGTTCATTTTCATGGTCTCCTCCTTTCTGTTGAAATTGTCCACATGCTTGTGGATTTCAATGGCTTCTCTGTGTAGTCTGACATGGTTGTTGTTGGAGTGGTCCAGCATTTCTGTGTTCTCAAATAATATGCTGTGTCCAGGCTGGTTCATCAGGTGCTCTGCTATGGCTGACTTCTCTGGTTGAAGTAGTCTGCAGTGCCTTTCATTTATGAAAATCATGAAATATTTGAAAGAAACCGGAAGCTAGCCTTAGCATACTTGACAGGAGATTTAAAGAAATAAAAACAAGAGGAATCTATTGAGCTAGAAGTATAGAGGGTTAAACAAAATGTGCATAAACTCTGCAGGGCTCAGTGACAGAAGCCAAGGTGGGGATAGCACTGGGGATGTTGGAGTAGAGTCTCCTGGTAACACTATAACTGATAATAGGAGTAGCTGCCTATGCCCAGAGTTTGGACGAGGAGCAAGAAAGAAAGAGAATTAGGGAAATATTCATGTCATCTACAGATGAAGACTCTTTTGAGGGCTTTTCAGAAAGTGAAATGGAGGAGGAGGGAGATGAGAGTAGAGGTGTAAAAAGGACTACTCGCAAACAAGAGTCAGATGAGGAGTATCAGAGGAAACGGATCCATGACATACTTACTGCTCCTACTGAAGAGGAGGATTTTATGGGTTTTACAGGAAGTAATGGGTCTGGGAGTTGTGACGAGGAGGAGGATGGGTTGGATTGGACTTGTGTGCAAGAAGTCAGAGATGTATGTACACAACCTACGTCCAGTGATACCTTTGAGGGGTTTTCTGGGGATTGGCAATCTGGTAATACATGGGGAGACCAAGTCTGGATAAGAGATGGAAAAGTTGGCGGGATGGGTGTTGGCGCTCAGCTGTAGAGGCTAAAGCAGCTGACAGTGATGAGGAAAAAGCAGAGGACAATTCATCAACAGATAATGAGCTGTAAGATAAATGTAGGCACTGGAGCAATTAAACTTTGCAGAAGGCAAAGTGTTGGATTCGTGCCTGGGTCTTTGTTGCTGCCGTTTCTCTTGTTGGGTCCTGGAACTACAGGTTGCTGTATTCTCCGTGTATTGACTGGCTTGGAATATCGTGAATGCTGACTTCCCCTCTTCTTGACTTCGGATTGCTTGGTCGACACTGTTGCTTTTTGGACTTTAACATCTTCTACTGGACTTATTTCGACTTTGGACTGCATTTGGATGACGGCTTTGCTTTTCTACACCTTGTTTGTTTGCATTCTTTGAACTCTTTGATTTTGAGGCATTTTTCTCAAACTTTTGTTTATCCCAGATTATATGCCGGTTTAATCTGGATTATTTGCTCAGTTGAGTTTTTACCTTGCGATTTGCTAGAGACTTTCAGTTTTGACCAGGGACACTGAAGTAAGTGTCCCTGAGTCCTTTTTGTTGCCTTAATAAACTTTGTTTATAGTTTATCCCTGTGTCTGGCTCTTTAAAGGCTTCTGGATCCCGACAGGGGGTGGGTTGAGGGTTAATTGTACTGTGTGTGGCGGGTTGCCTATGTATGTGTATGTGTATATGTCTGCAATGTGTAATAATGTATGTGTATGTGGATTATTTTACACTATATTTTGTATTTTACACCTGTTTTCTATGTTGTACACCGCAATGAGTCGCCCTTGGGCTGAGAATTGCAGTATATAAGCGAAGTAAATAAATAAATAAATAAATAAATAAATGTGTATGGTTGGTGTATTACTTTTTTAAAATTAAAAATTTATTTAATTTTTTTTTTAAAAAAGGGAAATGTTCCAATACTCTGCAGTTATAATGATTAACCTGATTGCTGTTGCTGCTGTTATTGTGCACCTTTAAATTTGTAAGGAATCAATAAACATCCTTTTACTTACAGAACAAAATGTAATACTGAAAATATTAATTGATCAAATGCAGTACTGAAAATGTGAACACTTTTAAGGAAGGCACAAGATGCTTTTGTTACTTAATGTTTTTGATACTGTGTCACTGGAATGTCCTGTTCTGAGCTCTCCCCTTTGGTTAATACTCTAATGAAATGGAGAGCCTCACCCAAATCCCCAGCCAGTCTGTACAAAGTACTTAAAGACAGAAGATGAAACTGATAACCAGAATTGTGCAAGCAATGAAACGTGCAGTCAGGCATTTGCTAAAACCATAAATTGTAATGCCATTTCCAAGCCTCAACCTTGGGGCAGGGATAGTGGACCTCAGGGTCACAAAAGATAACTGGAGTCAGGTCACAGGGGACAGGGGATGGGACTTCAGAGCCTCCTTCACTCTTCTGATTTGATCCTCAGCCTATTTCTTGTCAAGATGTAAGTGCAATTTCTGCTCCTTTGTTGAATGGGAGGAGGTCTTGGGATTGAGGTGAGCTGTGTTTTGTCTCCCCAAATGATAGGACCTCTTTGCTCCACCCAATAATTTGGGAATTCTATATTTGCTCCCCACATGTTTCCATCAAGAAATCTGCAGAAAGCCATTCTATAAGCAGTCAGTACAATAAGAACATCACTTTTGATTACTCTTATATTAGAAACAGGCCATTCAAAATGACATTTCAAATATGGTGGAGAGTTTTGTCCTCTGTGAGAGAATTTCAGTGTGGAGACAAGTCAGGGAAAACAATCAGCTTGGCAGCCAGTCTAAAAGATGAGTGCACTAGAAACAACTTTCCAACGCAGCACCTCTGGGCTTCAATTTCTGGTCATGGGAATAATTTTGAGACAGGATTCTCAACATTCTGGGGGCCTCTGAATACATTTGATTTTTAAAAAAAATATTTGCAACTTTCCAACTATATCACTTTTTTTTCTTATTCCCCAGTTCCTCTCTTTTTCCCTTGGTATCCCAAGTTCATTTTAGTTGCTACAAACTGAGCTCAAAATGCCAGAGTAGATTACATTCAATTAATTTAGCAAGAGAGAGGAGAAGAGGAGGTGGAAACTTGACTTTCTCTGGAAAAGTTCCAGCCCCTCTTCACTTGTGCATTCTTTCTCATTAATAACTTTCACCATCTTGACTACATTCTGGTATGTATGATCAGTTCATTTTCATGGTTTCCTCCTTTTTGTTGAAATGCTTGTGGATTTCCATGGTTTCTCTGTGTAGTCTGACATTGTACTTGGAGAAAGCCAGGAAAATGAACAAAATCTGGCTACCAGTATTAAAATGAGCCAACCTGGACACAGCATATTGTTTGAGAACACAGAAGTGCTGGACCACTCTAACAACTACCATGTCGGACTACACAGAGAAGCCATTGAAATCCACAAGCATGTGGACAATAGGGATCCTATTGTATTGGAGATCACCCACACAACAGAATGGAAATAGCACTCAGCAGGAGAACAGGTTCCATCGATTACAGTGGCTACTTCCTGCTACATAGAATCATAGAGTTGGAAGAGACTTTGTGGGTCATCCAGTCCAACCCCTTGCCAAGAAGCAGGAAAATCGCATTCAAAGCACCCCCAAAAGATGGTCATCCAGCATCTGCTTAAAAACCTCCAAAGAGGGAGCCTCCACCAAACTCTGGGACAAAGAGTTGCATTGCTGAAGAGCTCTCACAACCAGGAAGTTCTTCCTAATGTTCAGGTGGGATCTCCTTTCCTATAGTTTGAAGCCATTGTTCCACATTCTAGTCTCGAGAGTAGTAGAAAACAAGTTTGCTCCCCCTCCCTATGACTTCCCTTCACATATTTATACATGGCCATCCTGTCTCCCCTCAGCCTTCTCTTCTGAAGGCTAATCATGCCCAGCTCTTTAAGCTGCTCCTCACAGGGTTTGTTCTCCTAGCCCTTGATCATTTTGGTCACCCTCCTCTGGACACATTCCAGCTTGTCAACATCTCCCTTCAATTGTGGTGCCCAGAATTGCACACAGTGTGATTCCAGGTGTGGTCTGACCAAGGCAGAACAGAGGGGTATCATGACTTCCCTGGATCTAGACACTAGACTCCTATTGATGCAGGCCAAAATCCCATTGGCTTTTTTTTCTTTTTTGGTTTTTTTTTTTGCCGCACATGACATTGTTGGCTCATGTTTAACTTGCCCATGAGGACTCCAAGATCTTTTTCAATGTACTGCTGTTGAGCCAGGCATTGCCCCCCATTCTGTATCTTTGTATTGCATTTTTTCTACCTAAGTGGAGTATCTTGCATTTGTCCCTGTTGAACTTCATTTTGTTCGTTTTGACCCATCTCACTAATCTGTTCAGATCGTTTTGAATTCTGCTCCTGTCCATGCAATTCAGGAGAGTCAGTCTAGATTTCATTGCATAGCATAACTCTGGTTCTTAGACAAAAGAATCTCCATACAGGATTCACCATTTTTATTCGCAGTGTTAACATTCTTAAATGCCATATATTTTGTCCTCTTCTTTATTTCTTTCACCATCACCATTAAGAGCTGTGAATGGAGTAGCTTTATTTCTTGAAATATTTTCTAATTATTAGAAGGTTTTCCACAGAAAATTTTTGGCTCCCAGTCTTAACTCAAATTCCAGTCCCTGCACTTTACTACTGCCCTCCGCTTAGAAATATAGTGTTCCACCTTATACTGCCGTTTATCCCCATTTTTGTCATCTGGCACTTGCACTTTATCTATCAGTTCTTCCTCACAGCTAATTGTACCGCCCGCCCGCCCAAGCCCAGAACTGTGTTGCTATTTCAGGCTATTTGTTGTCTGTTTGGTGGTTGTTTTATACTGTGTTATGCCATTGTTGTTTTATTTGCTTGTTGCTGTTTTATGCATTTTAATGTGCTATTTTAACTATGTTGATTGGGCTTGTCCCCATGTAAGCCGCACTAAGTCCCTTTGGGAAGATGGAGGAGGGGTACAAAAATAGTTGTTGTTATTGTTATTGTTATTATTTGAAACACAACAAGATGAGTCCACAGCAGATAAGATCACTCTGCTGGCTGTGGTATTGAATCACACGTCAGACACTTCCCAAGTGTCTAGGATTGTGTGATGTATCGGCAAATAATGTGTGCAGATCCCAGTAAGGTGGCAGATGGTAATTTTGTATTATTATTATTATTATTATTATTATTATTATTATTATTGTTCTTTTTTCAATTTCTTTTTCTTTTAAAATTTATTATTTTCACTTTATTTACTTCCATAAACAACATCATAGATACTTCTTTTCTTGAACTGAATATCCTTGAAGCCAGCTGCACCTAGGAGTGCCTTATACTCAGACAGGGTCCGTTCCTTTCCTTCATAACTAAGAAACATCACTAAGGAGTAGATATGAGCTGGTAAAGGCCCGCTTCTGTCTTCATTGAGAACGGCCGCCACTATTAAAACACCACCACCTGTTAATTGATTTAAGAAAGAGAAGACATCATTATTATCTATTACTGACCATAATCCTATCATGAGAAATACTTGGATATGTTTGCCAGCTCACAAAGAATGAATATATGTTTTTGCAAATGTATCTAATAGAGCAGTGCACAATCCTTTTGCCCCACACTGACATTATCTTATACAGATGCAGACCACAAGACTCCTGAATGGGAAATTTTGATCCTTTCATTAATCCCCAGTAAGAACTAATGGTTAATTGGTTGGAGTTCATTTAGAGCAGTGGTTTCCAACCTTTGTTCCTCCAGGTGTTTTGGACATCAGCTCCCACAGTTCATAACAACTGGCAAACAGGCTGGAATTTCCAGGAGTTGGAAGTCCAAAACACCTGGAGGACCAAGGTTTAGAAACCACCAATTTAGGGGATCTGCAAAAAGGCATGGATTGCCATCCCCCATGGTGTCATCTAGTCCCCCACCTCACCCCCAGCAGTCCAGGTCCCACAAGGAGCAAACACATTTTGTATGCCCCTCTTCTACAGCAAGATTTCATATAAAGTGTTCTGACTTTTGTGACTATAGACAAAATCATAAAAACTGAACTTGCAAAAATATTTTTATTCTATAATTTCCAGAACTCTATTGAACAATTCTGCCCAAATCTCTTAGATTTGGCCATTCAGAAAGAACTTTCAAGCACATTAAGTAAGAAGATATGCTTATGAAGAAGAAAAAACATTAATAGAATCATAGAATCAAAGAGTTGGAAAAGATCTCATGGGCCATCCAGTCCAACCCCCTGCCAAGAAGCAGGAATATTGCATTCAAATCACCCCTGACAGATGGCCATCCAGCCATCCCAAGAAAACAACTCCACGGTATATAGAAGCGAACTGTCTGGGACTGTGTCTACATGAGTCAAATAATGTGGACCTTCCTTTAAACTGCAGTGGGAGCCCACACACTGCACAGGTGAATTTAAAGGAAAACTGCTTCATCCAGCCATTAATGGGTAAAAAAGAAACAAAGATCTTGAGTTATCCTGAAGTTTTGGAGTGTGGATCTCTGGATTGGGCTGAATTTGGTTCAATCCAATAGTCCACTCGCCTGAAGGTCCTACGACCTTATCAGATGGGGAAAATTTAGCATCCTAAGATGCTTTTACCCTGTCTTATGGATGGAGCCCCATGCCAGGCATCACACAATGTTGTGTGACATCCAACAGAGGCCCCACCTTCAACCCTCAATATTCGGGAATATAGGGCTGTGTGGAAGGGCCTGTAGCCATGCAAAGCTAAGGTTCTGACAATGCATGGTCATATGCTAGCTCTGATAGTTACTTAAGCCTGGATGTAACTGTTGCAGTCCTTACCCTTAGCTGTGTTCATGAGGTATGATAATAACATATGGGGTCCTTCATTTTGTCCATCCCTACTTCAACAGTCATTATTTATTTATTTATTTATTTGTCGTGTCAGGGCAACCAGTCAATTATATTACATTTCTAACAGAACAAAGCAAACAAACAGACAAAATACAAAATTTGTGAGTTTGGTAGTTGATTAAATGTCCTTTGACCAGTAGCTGGCCACTTGGAGTGCTTCTGGTGTTGCTGCAAGAAGGCCCTCCACTGTGCATGTGGCAGGGCTCAGGTTGCATTGCAGTCATAATGTAATCATTTGATCTTGTTCCACGTTAGATGATAAAACCTTCTTTCAAATATGACCGATACACTGCAGAGCAGCCAATGGGTGAATAAACCTATCCAGATAATGGACATGAGAACAGTGTATTTTACTTGATATGTTGAAGACAGTGCAAGACTGTAAGATATCTCCAAAGACAGAACGTTTTGGGTGCAGTAAGGGACAAAATACCTCAGTTGCAGAACACATACTTGGAATACATACTTGCGGTTTCGAGACAGAAAAGAATTTGCCTTGAAACCCTGAACTACTGCTGATATTGACTACACACCCTTGGGTCAATGAATACTGAGGGTCCTTCCACACAACCATATAACCCAGATTATCAAAACAGATAATCCACAATATCTGCTTTGAAGTCAATTATCTGAGTCAACACTGCCATATAATCCTGTTCAATGTTGATTTTATGCAGATGTGTGGATGGGGCCTGAGACTCTCACAAGCAAATTAAAGATATAGTATATGGTGGAACCAAAAACGTTTGCTTGTCCATCATAGTCTGTAGAGAGCCAACTTCTCCCTATCCAATACTAATTAAGTTCACATACTGTACCTGGTTTACAAGCCTTGTATAATTTACTTAGCAGAGCCACACATTTCTCATCATCCCAGCAATGGAGGATTCTAGCCAATATATATAGATCAGCTTCAGGGACTGGATCATTAAAAAAATCACCTGCAAAATTAGAAGAAGGCATCTGTTTGTTTGAGCATATTGCTTCACAAAAAGCAATTATTTCTATTTTTTAGAAAACTCTTTATTATATTACATTATTATATATAAAAATATATAGATTTATATACATATACACACATTGATAACAGGCAAAGAGAGGGAGAAAAGGTGGAGTCAGTGACAGACTTTATATTTCCAGGTGCAAAGATGACTGCAGACACAGATAGCAGCCAGGAAATCAGAAGACGTTTACTTCTTGGGAGGAGAGCAATGACCTATCTCAATAAAACAGTTAAGAGTAGAGACATCACACTGGCAACGAAGATTTGCATAGTTAAAGCAGTGGTATTCCCCGTAGCAACCTATGGATGTGAGAGCTGGACCATAAGGGAGGCTGAGCGAAGGAAAATAGACACTTTTGAACTGGGGTGTTGGAGGAAAATTCTGAGAGTGCTTTGGACTGCGAGAAGATCAAACTAGTCCATACTCCAGGAAGTAAAGCCTGACTGCTCACTGGAGGGAAGGATATTAGAGGCAAAGATGAAGTACTTTGGCCACATCATGAGAAGACAGGAAAACTTAGAGAAGATAATGATGCTGGGGGAAATGGAAGGAAAAAGGAAGAGGGACCAACGAAGGGCAAAATGAATGGATGGTATCCTTGAAGTGACTGGCTTGACTCTGAAGGAGCTGGGGGTGGCCATGGCCAACAGGAAGCTCTGGCCTGGGCTGGTCCATGAGGTCACGAAGAGTTGGAAGCAGCTGAACAAATAAACAACAACAAACACAAATTGCCTGTAGCAAAGAGCAGAAGGATTCATGCTGTTCCATGCACAGAAGCACACTGGTCTCAAAATAGAGTTCTAGTCTATCACAGTTGGAAGGACATTATTCTCCCCAGCAGATTATTTTACACCAATTTACAGACAGTTCTCTCCTCCAGTAGATGGGGTGGCTGGGGGCCTAGGAAGACTGAGCAGAGATATGATATTATCTGTGGTTTCAAGTGCTAGAGAGGCTGAAAACAATGTGTGTGTTTTTGTGAGGGCTAGAGCTACATGGCTCCATGTTTCCAGATAAAGTGAAGAAATAATTGAATCAACTTCTTCAAGAGAAAGGAAGTGTCCTCAGGATAGAAAAGGGGAGAAATGGAAGGGCTTACCTAGTACCGGATTGCCTTCCCTTTCACTGATCACTCTACATAACTGATGATTTCTCTTTGCTTCCAAGCAGAATATATCAGCTGGTGCTTTTTATATGTGCATTGTAGAGTAAAGCATTATCTAAAGTTTAAATCTAGGTACAGTCACAGAAAGCATATCTTACCACTCTGGAAAGTAATCTGGTGTTCCTCTGATGACACAAAATCCTTCCTTCCTCTTTCTACCACTTCAGGCAGGTCAAAAATGGTCACAGTAGAATTTGGGTACAATGAAACATATTTTTTGGAAAAGTAGCCACTACCTCCTTTAAAAAAACAGAATGTGAAGTAAAACACTCCATATGTTGTGTGTCTTTTGAACTTCTTCCTAAACATTCTGCATAAAATCTTATTTAATAATTTCAGTTTCTTTTGAGGTTATGATCACCATTAGTTAGAAGCGAAAGGGCATAATAGGAAGTCATGACTCAGTTGAAGAGACAATAATGTAGAATGTAGTCGGAAATGAAGACTGCATTACAGTTGAATAGACTCAGGTCACATCCGCACAGGCAGTATAATCCATCTTGAATCCAAGTTGAGGCCAGGGAGTCTACAAAACTTACACCCCTAATTTGACCTTCAACTTGTATCCAACTCTGAATCAACAGCCTCTGTATAAATGGAGTGCTGCAATTGTGCTGCATGTAGTGCTGGAAATTGGAAGATGCATGAGGAGCCCTTCTCAGAACAGTGTTAACCCCCAGGGATGAGAAAAGCGGTATATAAATGCTTTAAATAAATAAATAAACACTTCACAGAGAGAAACTGAGTACACAGCTCCAAGTGAAGGTAAACAAATGCCTCCAAACTCCCAACAAAGACTTTATCCTACTGAGGTGGCCAGAATAGACATCTCATCACCTTTAGTGTGTAAATTGTTTATTGATCTGACAGTATGACTTCTTTGGCCTTCACAAACATCACATTCCTCCCCATCTGAAAATTAAAATGTGCATTTATCTGGATCATACACTCTCATGGCTGCTTCATCTATTTCTCCTGGCCACACTCCTCACCCCACCATGACCCTTCCCCTTTTTCCCCTTTGCTTTAAAGGCAACTGCTGCCCAAATTTATACAAGGCAGACAGCAGATGCTGTTTAAACGGGATCAGACAGAATTCTTAAAGAAAGGAAGAAACATCATGGGAAGTCTACTGTCTGATCCCATTTAAAAGAGCTAAAAGAGCTCTAGAATAACCCATAGGATAATGTCTCACGTAAACTACAGAGTTCCCATAGGAATACATTTGTCAAGCACTGATCGGCTGTTCTCTAGCAGCATGTTTTCATACAGGAAATAAGAAATAATAATAATCCTATGTTTGGATGGATCCAGATTCAGTGGAGCTTTGTGGACTCTGTGGCAGCTTTGAACTTTCCTCAAAGCTCATGAGGTGCCTGTATGAGCATAACTGCCAGGGAAATCTTTAAAAAGTGGATCCTTGAATGATGAGAATTTTTTGCAATCCAGGATGTGTTTGTCACAAAATATGCACTTTTTGGAACAGCATTTTTCCTTAAAAACAATATTTCTGTAAAGTTTTTTGGGCAGAAAACGTTGATTTCTATGAAAAAATAACATTAAAATTTTAAAATGTGAGAATTTTGCAAAATAAGGGCCAGCTACTGCATTACAAAAAGAAATTCTGCATCAAAAGCTTAAAAAGTAAAAAAAAATCATTCTGGTCTGTATCCAGAAAATGTTTTATTTTTTTAAAAAAATCTACATGCAAATTTTGCACCAAATAGATTACTTAAACAAAATCTCTCTTTTTTAATAAAATCAAATATACTTTTTATAGTAGAAGGAAAACTGATTAAATTACTCTTTGCTTTCTTTCAGCATGAAAATAGTGGAGAATTATATCCTCAGGCAGACAAGGAACAGTCAGCAGCAGCGGATTTGGCAGAACAGAAAAAAATCCAGGTGAAAAGGCAACAATGAACAAAGGAATGCAGTTGGTGATGGTCGAGAGAGGAGGCAACTGCTGGCTTCCTACAACTGATTTAGAAACACCTATCTTCTGGGGAACTAAAAGTATTACCAGATGCTTACAGAGTTTACTGTGTTTGCCTTGAGTTCACCCCCTCCTCCAGATGGAAGTTTATAAGGATTTTCTTGGGAGTTTATTCCGTGTGTGTGTTGGGGGAGGGGGGTAGCATCATGTAATCATGTATGTGTATGTGTATTTTTATTGTGTTATACTCTGTTGATTGGTCTTGGTCCCCATGTAAGCCATCCCGAGTCCCTTTGGGGAGATGGAGGCAAGATACAAAAATAAAGTAGTTATTATTATTATTATTATTATTATTATTATTTTTATTATTATTATTATTATTCACTATGTTCTGTTATCCATTACTTATCATATGTTGTCTGAATTTTCTGGTTTCTCTGTTACAAACAGTTTTCATCCTTATCCCACGAGCGAGTGGATTGTCTGCTCTCTCCCCTCCCCCCCCCTTTTTTAAAGGCCTTACTTCGACATCACAAGGGCTCAAACTTGTGTGGTATTGACATTTGCAGTAAAAAAGGATAGAAACAGCAGAAAATCCCGCAGTTGAAAACAAAGAAAAATAGCAATCTACTAAAGTAGTGAGATTTCTTAGTTTTAATTTGTTTTTAGAAAATTACTGAAAAGGATTGAGCAACTGCATTATGGCAGAGTTCCAGGAACTCACTGCAAATTAGAAGTCTGCCCACAGGACCGCCCATTTGCCCATGTCATAGATTCAATTCAATGTGGGTGTTCTGACAGCTCCTATCCTACGAGTTTGTGTAGTTTTGAAATGGAATATCCTGGTTCCTGATCTGGAAGATACCCTCAGACTGTCTTCTCCCCCTTCCCTTTTTAAGACAGTTTTTAACATGTACATAACCAATTGTGACAGGCTCAGATGGGAAGTCCACCTGTGTTGTGGGATGAGCTCTATCTCTTTTCATTCCCTCAATGGCTTAGAACTGTTTTGAAATAGGGACTAGGGATGGGTGGGATAGGGTCCTTGGATGACACTATGTCCAAATAATGAGAGTCAATTTCCAAAGTGATTCTCTGCTTCTAGAAGTCATTGTGGTCCAGCTAGTTATAGATCTCTTTGACAAGCTCTCTAATAACATTCCTCTAAGATAGGGAATGTTCTTCATTAAACTAATAGTGGACGGTACTGTTGTATGAAGGGGAGACTGCTGCCTTTACTATGAAAGAATTACAGGAATGAAAGGCAATCTGAGAGGAACTCCCCTAAATCAATAGTGTTTCAAATGGCAAAAAAGGCAGCTACGAATTACCTCCCAAATCACAAACAACATGGAAACAAGAAAGATCAAATGCCGTCATCACTTCGTCACCATACAGACTCCAGGCATCACCCATGGCAGCGGAGAATTTTTGCAACTCTTCCTCTGACCTAAGAAATCAAAATCAGAATGCAAGATAAACAAAAAGAATAGATGCATCCTAAATCTGACCTGATCCCTATAAAATTACTGTATACACCCATTTTCAGGTCTAAAAATTGTAATAAAAAATCAACCTCATAAGCTAGGTTGCTGTAAATTTTTGGGATGTATGGCCATGTTACAGAAGCATTCTCTCCTGACATTTCACTTGCATCTGTGGGAGGCATCCTCAAAGGTTGTGAGGTCTTAAACCTTGGTTGACCTATCCACGGGTCAATGAATGGCTGCATCTTAAGCCCTATAAAAATGAACCATTCCTTTCTCTGAAAAGGCTATTCTTGCTTAGTCTGTCCTCGAAGAGTGTAAAAGAAGTACCAGCTTCCTCTACTCTCTCTGTTGCTGCACCACTTTTGCCCTTTGAATATCTGGGTAGGAAAATGGAGGTGGATAGAGTCTACTGGCTCCCTCAGAGTAGCTGGCACTTTCCTCTCTACAAATTCCCTTGATTTGTATGTGAGGTCAACATATACATAAGCTTATTCAGTCCCTTCTCACAAGTTTAGAATATCCCTAACAAAAAATCAGAATAGTTGTTGGCATTCTATTTTCAGATATAAGTGTGTAGCTTTCTTGTTTTCTTTCTTTCTTTTTTGAGAAAAAAAATAATTTTGCGAGGTTGGAATTTTAAAAAAATGTAGTACTATAACAGAAGGACTGGAATGGACAAAAATAACAAGAAGAGCAGGCGGAAAACTGGAAATTGATATGGGCTTACTATTCGTGACATATGCTGTGCATTTTCCAACAAAAGTGTTGGGCATTTTGTCTGCTATAGAAATCCATATGGTACTGAAAGTTGCAGAAGCAGAGTTGCACATATAATGCTACTGTTCCATTTCACTTGTAGAAATGCAAGATGCATTACAATCTGCATTTCATCCTTGTGGGTTCAACTGCAGTTGTATTCCACTAACATACAAACATGGAAATTTGTGGGTATAAAGTTATACTCTGTTTCTTTGATGTAAGATCTTTTCAGCAGCAGAGAAAAATATTACTGTTACCTGTAGAAGTTCTTATAAGAATCTTTTTCTGAAGTGCCATAAATAAACTGAACCTGATGTTTTCCTTCCCTGAAATAGAACAATGTTTTCAAATTTTAAAAACTAGCTAGCACAAGCAATAAATTCAATGTCAAGTCCTTTGATTATACTGATTCCAACATAAACATGTTCTAAACAGAAAATTGGGAAAATATTTTCAGCACAAGGATCAAATTCTATTATCTGAGTGATCTCCAGAATCATATTCCAGCAAAGAGAGGGCTGAAGAGGAAATAGAGTTATACCTTGAGTTAAGAGCTTAATCCGCTCCATGATCAAGCTCCTAACACAAATTGCTCTTATCTCAAAGCAAAATTTCCCATTGAAATGCTACTAATCCATTTCAGCCTCTGGGTCTCCCCCGCTCCCCAATTTTCTTTGTGCAAGGAAGGACAAAGAACAAAGTGAAGAAGCAGAAACAAGCTTGCCCCCTTCTCAATGAGATATCTTTTCAAACATTTAAACATGGCTATCATGTCTCCCCATAGCCTTTTTTTCTCCAAGCTAAACATACCCAGGTCCCTTAGTCACTTCTCATAGGACTTTGCTCCCAAACCTTTCATCATTTTGGTCACCCTTCTCTGGACACATTCAGGCTTGCCAATGTCCTTTCTGAATTATATTGAATTCTGACTAAACCTTGGCTATTGTGCTTTGGACATATCACAAGATGTTTGCACATCATTCATTGATACAGTTACCATAAATCAATACCAATTTGAGAGTATATAACAAAATTTCCACCTTTGAGAGTTTGCATTTATTTCTTACCTTACAGCCTTTGTTAAGGATTGCCAATTTAAAAAACCAAGCTCCATGTGTAACTTCAAGTATCGGTACTGGGACTTTGGGCTTGATTTCGCAAGGCAGAGGTTGGCAAGGTGTGTGTTTCTATAATAACCTTAACATGAGACAAAACATTATGTTGTAAAACCCTGAAAGAAGTAGGATAACAGGTAGCTAACAAGTAGTGAGTTGGACCCTTGGACTACAACCATGGAGATCAGGGTTTTCCATTCTCAGGAGGCTGAGCAAGCCACACTCTCAGTCTCAAGAGAAGGCAAAGGCAAACTCATCCTGAAGAAAACTTATTCCAGAAATGACTTGAAGGCATACAAGAAATATTGCCAAATCTCATAGCCTGGCCCTGAATCTCCAATTTTCAATAGTCATCACCAGGTGGGAAATGGGGGTACAAATTCTTCAGGTTTTTTGCACGGGGTGGGGTGGGGGGCAGAATTCAAGGCAATTGTTGTGTGTAAATCTCTAGCTCAGCTAAAAGAATAGCAGCTTTCTACAATTTCCAAGAATTAATTTGTTGGATCCTGCAACTTCCAAATATTTTTCAGAGGGTCTATGATTTACTTAATGGGTATCCTCATTCCTTCCTCATCATTATGGCCCAGCCCTGCTCTGCATCCAGCTTCTAGAAAGAGTCAACTAATCTATCCATGTTATTATGCTGAGGCTTTAATGCCCTGTTCATCTGCAGAATTCTGTGAAATGTAGTTTAGGGCAGGGTCTCTTGAATACTTTGCTATGGAGGTCCTTGCATTCCCAAACTACATTTCCCAGAATTCTGCAGGTGGCAGAGGAAAGGGACTACCTGCTTTAAAGCCCCTGAGAGAACGTGTTAGATTTGAATGTCCCTTATCCTGTCTCTCTCAGTAAGGACTTCATCCCACGCGATAAGTAAAGCATTTGAGATTGCTCTTTTCCCCTTAAGCTTCACAATGCCCTGTTTGGAAATTAAACAGATTTTTTTTTATCCCCATCACATGTTTTCCCTTGTTCCATTTTCTTTTCAGATTATCCACTTGTCTTACCATCACATGGGAGACTTATTTATCCTCCCACTGTCTCCTCTTCCATTTTATTTTGATATTTTTCTCTTGCAGAAGTACTTTTAACACGAGATCCCATTAATGTAATTTCTTCTCTTTGTGAGCATGTGCATTTGAAACCAACAGGCAGTAGTTTTCTGATAAAGTATTCATGGGGTTTTTTATTGCCCAGGAGTCAAAATACAGTCTATCCTCAATTTTCTTATGGAAAGATATGTTCTCTCTGTCTTTTAAAGATAAGCTATGTGTAACTGTGGGTAATACTTGATCCCCACCCCCCACCCTGGGGGAAACCTCAGGGATGATTCTGAACTGGCATCCTTGCCTTTTAAACCAGATATAGTTACCTTCATTGTCCTTCCTCTCCATTTTTAGCAATTTTAATCCCACACAGGCCTCCAGCAGCATTTGCATTCCTATGTGGCTGGTACCCAACCGTTCAGCGATAACTGCTGAACTCAGGAGCTCTTTTGACTCAAAAAGCAAATCAAATACTCCCAACTCACAGGCAGTAAACATAATCTGGAAACAAAAGAACAATATGCAAAAGCATCAGTAAAATGTACAGCTTTATACATTCTAAAAATCTTTACAACATCAAAAACAGCAACAAGTGGCAGACAGAGCAATGAAAAAAGATCAAATGCAAAGATAACTCAGATCCATCACATGAGGGGAAGCGTGAGCATGCATGGTCCACGCAGTTCCCTCCCATAGATGCTGGAAGCATGTGCCGTCTCCACCCTCATTCACCCACGGAGCCATCACGTCATCATTTGATGGAAGCCGGTGGCTCAGTGGGCGACCTAGGCTAAAATCGGCACATGCCACCGATTTTAGTCCAATGTGATAAGGTCCTATGATGAATGTATTGCCACCTCTTAAGTTTCCACATGTGAGTCTGATGGGGAGGTAGAACTCCAAATGGGGAGATTCTCTCCCTTAAAGGGGCGGTCACCCTGGCTTTCTCCTCTCAATGTGATGAGGTGGATAGTTAGTACCTCTGTCTTATCTAGATTCAGTTTCAATTTGTTTTTCTCATCCTGCCCATTACCTCCCCAAGACATTAATTCAGAGGAGGCACACTATCCTTAGCTGAGGCCCTTTCTAAATTCTCAACTAGTGCTTTCTAATTCTGTTGTTGATCCTCTAGAGGTGTTGCATTTACCATGAACCGTGCCACCATAGCCATCATCAAGATCTTGTGCCTGAGGTCCCAGACGTTTTGAACGCCATCTTTTAAGAAGAGTTGCCTGGTCCACGGGTGTTTTCTAATAGAGAATTCTAAATATTTAATCTTGACTCAAATCCCAAAAGGGACTGTAAGGCTAAACTAATGTAAAGCTGTGACAAAGGAAAATCTATTCTGGAAAACCTCTTTGAAATTTCAGTTTGAATTAAATCCAATATCAGTTAGAACACCTATGTGAGTTGCAAGAAATAGTTTGGAAGTAGTGCTTGCTCAGTATTTGCTATTTTATATTATTGCTATAGCCTTTTAGGGGAGCCAGAATGTAGTTTGGATATTGGACTAGGGCTCTGTGAAACACAGCAATGGAAACCTAATTGAGCAAGTCACACCTCCTTAACCACAGAGATAGGCAATGGTAAACTCCTTCTGAGCAAATCTTGCCATGAAAGGCTTAGGACCTCTTCACACAGCCCAAAGGAGCCATGCTGCTTCTCCAGCAAAATGAAGGCATGCAGGGCAGCTCGTGACACTCCGTGCACCCTCCCTTCTCTCCTCATTACACAGAGGGCAGGAGAGGGTGCTTTGTCACTCTCCCCTCCCCTCCATCAGATGGCAGAAAAGAAACCAACGCGCATTGCCCCACCACCATTTCTACCATCCCATGGGCTTTTAAGCCCCAAAATACAGATAGCTCCATCAGAGCTATGCTTACCTTCCCATAGTTGAGAGGAAATGCTTTCTGGTGCTTCCCCCCAACTCTGGGAGGAAAAGTGGACGGGGCCTGCCATGCGTTGTCTAATGGCACCCGGGAGGCCGTGTCATAGGACCTCCTTTGCCTCACTAAAAGGCAGCAAAATTGGGCTAAAAAGCACAGTGTGAAGAGGTCCTTATTCAGAGAGAGTTTGCCTTAGGAGCTGCCATAAGTCTGAAATGAGTTGAAGGCACATCACCACAACCAATAGAGCATTTTAATTACTGTGATATGTTTTTTGCGAAAACTATATATTTTTGCAAAAATTATATCTGGAAACTCCCAAATGTAAACAGTTTCTTTTCCCTGGAAGCACCTGCTTTATAAAGTTGGAACGACTTTGCTGGAAATAATGTTGACGGACGAGTGCATACTACAGTGATACAAATAAGGCATCATGCTGTGAGCTGTGCATCTCTTACTTAGACTGTATCCATGTAATAGTTCACTATTATCCAAGCTTCATGTTTCAAGCACTGAAACCCCCCACAAAGCAGTGGAACTGCAAAGGGATAGAGTTAAATCTATAACAGAAAGTGCAGCCAAGGGATTATGTATCAGTGAAGCAATGCAGTCATCGTTAAATAAGTAAAATAAATAAACTTTATAACCTGCCCAGTCTCCCCAAGAGGACTTAGAGTGGTTTCAAACAAAGAAATTGGCAAACGTTCAATGCCAGAAAGAAAGAAATAAACAATTTAAAACAACATAAAAACGTATAGCAACAGAACAAATACGCAAGTATAAAACATGGTAAGTTGCCACTTTTCCTAGTTGTACAATACTGTGGGATAGCAACAACATGCAATAAAGTCCAGAGAGACAGAGAGAGAGAGAGAGACAGAGACAGAGACAAGAGACGGAGACAGAGAGGGGCTGAGTAGAGAAAGGGAAGAGCAGGAGGAGGAGTTGAGATGATGCTGGGAGATTTACCTAAATGTCAGTAACGGAGATGAACAACTACTACGTGTTGTAATCTTGTTGACGATTCAAAATAAGTAATTATTATTGATTAAATATTATGAATCAGGCCAGAAAAGAGCCAACAACAGTTTTTAGATACACCCAATATGAAGGAGCGAGAAGAATTTAACTAGAATGTATACAGTGTGCCCTTGGTATCTACTAGGGTTAAGTTCCTGGATATCAAAATCTGTAGATGCTCAAGTTCCATCATATGCAGTGGTGTAGTATAATAGTGTCCCTTATATATAAAAGCACAAAATTCAAGGCTTGCTTTTGGTATTTTTTACTAGTATTTACAAGCCACATATGGTCCAATCTCTGAATGCAGGTTCTGTATGGAGGACTGGTTGCTTTATAATGTTTATAAAATATAGCTTAACATAACTGTTTCATTATGGTTTAAGCAAAAAAATAATAATATTTAAAACAGTTTATAAAGAGAGAGAATAAGTTATTGAAACAAAGACAGACAATTTGATGTGGTGTATTCATTAGAAAAGTGAAGCTTTGAAAGTGATTGAAGGTTTATTATTTGATTTGTAGATCTCACCTTTGAAATCAAAACTCCGTGCTGACAGTGAAATAAGGTTTTGATCATTTCATTCTCTTCTACAGAATCCATCCTTCTTCCAGCTGCAGACTTGCCCTCCTTAGCTGAATCTTAAGCCTGCTTCTCAAGGCAAAAGGTTTCTTTTCAAGACCCTAGCAACTCTGATCATCTTACTGCTGTGCCATGTGTGCTATATATGCAGGTTTACGATTTTGCAAGAGACATTATCTATAGACAAACATGCTTTCACTAATTACTTCTGTCAACAATCCATGGCAGGACTGAAGACTGACAGGTTGCAGGTTCAAATCTGGGGAGAGCACGGATGAACTTTCTCTATCAGCTCCAGCTCCTCATGCGGGGACATGAGAGAAGCCTCCCACAAGGATGATAAAACATCAAAACATCTGGGCATCCCCTGGACAACATCCTTGCAGACGACCAATTCTCTCACACCAGAAGCAACTTTTTTGCTCCTGACACGACCAAAAAAATATCCACTGTTATGATTCCTTCTGCTGCATTTCCAGATGGCCTCATTGAAAATGTTTTGAGTACAGTGTGGCTTTTTTCACCAAGGTTTCCTGTTGATTTGAATTTTCTCAATTACATTTTTAGTTACTTGACTGAATTATTCTTTTCCCTCTTTGTTTTAGAGATTAAAAAGCAAAGTGATAATATTCTTTCCGGCTTCTCTAGATTTTTTCTGAATAACCCTAATAGGTACATCCCTGGATTTTTAAAAACTTTGTCATGGATCATTTTATTTGTTTCCTTAATATTTTTTTCCCAATAAGCCAGCACCAATTCACAAGACTACCGCACATGGAAGAAGGTCCCTTTATTTATTTTATACCTCCAGCAGAATCCTGATTGCGAATGATGTATTTTGGCTAGGAGAGCTGTGGTTGCATAGCACCACAACTGAAAATTTGAAACCTTTGTTCCACAGGTCTTCCCATTTATCAAGATCTATATTTCTCCCTTGATCTTTTGTCCATAAAATGATGGAGGCTTTTATTTGGTTGTCTTCCAGGTTATAGCATTAGATATATTTATACAATCTGGATATTATACCTCCCCCCGCCACCATTTTTCTAATATAGTTTCAAGTTCAGACTTTTTTTGAGGCAACCCGCCCCCCCCCCCCCCTGCGCTTCTTCATTTTTATACCTTTTGTATAATTGGTTAGATCAGAATCAGTCTTTAATGCCCAGTTCTTCTTTCCCCCTCAATGCTCATTGGCTGTTGAGTCTGATAAGAAATTCACCACATGTCGTTATTTCATGCTTGGAGATGGGTCTCAAAATGGCTTCTCCTGATCTCAGACACAGGGGTGTTTTCGGTTCCATGCCTAATTTGTATCTGATCCAGTCATCTATAAGGCTTCCTCTGATTATATGTTTGTTAAAATCCTTATTCAGTATCTGACCTTCATGCCACCCAAATCATAGTATGTGTCCTTCTAGGTAAAGGTAAATGTTTTCCCTTGACATTAAGTTCAGTCATGTCTGACTCTGGGGACTGGTGCTCATCTCCATTTCTCATCTCCATTTCTAAGACAAAGAGCCGGCATTGTCCATAGACACCTACAAGGTCATCTGGCCAGCATGACTACCTGGAGTGCCATTACCTTTCTGCTGGAGCAGTACCTATTGATCTACTCACATTTTCATGTTTTCAAATTGCTAGTTTAGCAGAATCTAGGTCCTTCTAGATTAAGTAAATTTACATTCTTTATAAATTTCATAGTAGGTTTTAAAATCTGGTAAATTTAGTCCCCCTCTCTCTTTGACATCAATTAAGTTCTTGTACGTAATTCTAGCTTGTTCCCCTGCCTAAATGAATTTCATGATGTTTCTTTTCTGTAGATTAAAGATTTTGGTCCCTTTAATAATGGGTATATTCTAAAATTAAAAAAATTAATTTTGGGGAGTAATCTTGATTATTGCTATCCTGCCCAGGCATGTTAATGGTAGCTTCTGCGAGTTAGCCAGGTTTCTTCTGATTTCAGACCAAATCTTTTCATGGTTATCAAGAAATGAGTTAATGCTTTGGCTCATAATCATGATTCCTAGATACGTTATCCTCGGGACTATCTTGCATACCAGTGCCTCTTCTAATTTCCTAATCAATTTGGTGTCTATATTTTTTGTAATAACTTTGAATTTATCTTTGCTTGTTTTAATTCCCAATACCTCACTGTACAATTTGATTACCTCTAATAATTTTGGAATACTTTCTGTTGAGTTAGCTAGAATATAAACCATGTCATCCACATATGTTCTAGTTTTGATTTCTTGGCCCCTTACTTTTAACCTTTCAATTTGCTTGTTCTGATTCTTATGCTTAGAATTTCAAATCCCAAAATAAACAGCAATGGGAAAAGTGGGCAACCTTGTCTGGTCCCTTTCTGTATATCTATAGCCTTGGTCAATTGTCCGTTTATTTTTAGCTTAGCATTTTTCTTAGAGTATATTGCCCCCACTGCTTTTTTAAAATGGTGGTGCACCTCAAACGATTCCAAAACTTTCTTCAAGTAGCCCCAGCTAACATGATCAAATGCATTTTCTGCATCCAGGAAAAATAATACCAGATCTCTATTGGGGTCACTCTCTGCTAGCTCCAGCACGTTCAGAATTGTTCTGACATTCCGATTCAAATGTATGTCTGGGAGGAACACCGCATGGTCCTTATGTATAATCTTTGCTAGCACTTGTTTAGATCTATTAGCCATAATTGTGGTAAAATAATTGATAGTCACATTTCAATCATTAAATAAGTCTGTAATTTTTAATTTGGTCCAAATCATCTGATTTTGGGATTAGTACTATTGTGGATTCTTTCCAAGATTCTGGTAACCTCAGTGAAAGTGAAGGACTTAGTAGTAACTTGAAAAACGAAAGAAGGTGAATTGAGCTTTATTATCCCAAATTCCTTTAGACATTGGAAAAGAAAGGACAAGGGCATCATTATTTTCGTCCCAAAAGGGCACCATATACGCTTCCAATTTTTGCTTGAATCTCCTTGAAGCCAGCTGCAGTGAGGAGTGCTTTGTGCTCTGGTGAAGTCCGGGTTTTCCCATCAGTATGGAGGAGCAGCTTTATGGAGGCAAAATGAGCTCCTAAGGATTTGACTCTTTCCTCGCCAAGAATAGGTTCAACTACTAAAATTCCACCACCTTGTTCAAAATAAATGTTAAGAACAAAATGTATGAGTATTGATTTCAATGACATTTTGAACAGTACAACTCAACTTCACCAAGCAGACTATTAGTAAAACGGTAGAAATGTAGACCACTATGCCACATTTCAGAGCCAAATTAGGCCTCCTAACAAATGGAAAATGCCAGGACTAAAGACAGCATGTCTACTTTCCACCTCTTCACACAGGGCATTTTTGTCCCATTTTGCCGCTTTTATGAGCGGCAGGGACAGGGCCTGCCATGTGCTATCACATGGCGTATCACTGGCCCCGCCACATTCCTCCAGAAGTGAAGGAAAAGCACTGAAAAGGCGCCTTCTCCTCCCCTATGGGGAGGAAAGTGTAGTTTGGATAGCTCCGATGCTGCTCCACATGCTGCTCCACGCATCTTCTCTTTTGCCAGCAATTGCCAGTGCAACGGCACAGCCAAAAGGGCTGTGTGAAGAGGTCCTTAGACTCACCACATCAGCCTATTTTCTCCTCCTACCAGCTTCCTTCTGTTGTACTAGTGAATTGACACATTTAGGTTTATTATACTAATAGTGGCACAATGCCAACCTATAGATGTTACTCTGCTTAAATTTTAGCCATTTTATGAAAAATTTCTCAGGATAATTCACGGGGATAGAAGAGTACCTAAGCAAATTGCAACTACCATATTTCATCATACAATTGTCACATATTCTGGTCCTTCTTATCAAAGGGGGAGGTGTGTGACTACTATGCAATGAAAAAGATTGCCTTTGATTTTCTGGTTTAAAAAATAACTGCTTCACTGCCAGGACAAGAGGAGGAGAGGAGAAGGAGGAGTGGTCCAGTCTTAAACAAACAGCTAAGTCCCACAAGAGAGCACTGGATTCCATCCGTTAGAGCTGTTATCTGGAAGAAAGCCCAGGGGCCCAATGGATATCTTGAAAGAGGGGTGGACCGGGCAAGAAAACATCAAAGAAAAGGACAGTATTAGTTATGTGGAGGACTTGCAACGTCACCTTAATACCGTCAGAGATGTCACAACAGTAAATCTGAAGTTGGCTCAACAATGACAGAAACAACAGAGTGATTTGAGAGCAAGGCATTGGATTTTTCAATTTGGAGACCAGGTCTTGGTGTTGCAGCCTAGACCTAAGAAAAATCTGCAAGTGGCTTGGGAAGGCCCTTACACTGTGTTAGCTAAAATGTCAGATGTAAATTATCTTGTCACCATGGATAGCGATGGGGAGAGGCATAGGAAACTATATGTAAATATGTTGAAGCCGTACCATCCTAGAAGTAATCTTGTATTAAAAGTCCCAGATTTTTGTCAATCTTTTATTTATTTATTTTGACTGATGCTTCCAAAGTTGGGCTCGGTGCTGTATGGACCAGATGGTTCCTTACAACCAATCGTATACCTGAGCCGAAAGTTACTGGACAGGGAACAACATCTGTAAATAATAGACAAACTAAAACTTTATTTATGGGGGTGTAAATTCACTTTATATACAGATAATTCCCCTTTGAAGTGGCTAAACCAAGTAAGGGGTACGAATAGTAAATTAATTTGATGGAGTTTAATGCTCCAAGATTATTTTATATTGTGTATATTATATGTCCAGGGTGATAGAATAAAATCCCATGTCCTAAGTGGACCAAAGAAAGATTTAATCCAGGTAATCTGTGTAACTGGGTTGTTGTAAGTTTTTCGGGCCGTACTGCCATCTTCTAGAACATGACCATACAGCCTGAAAAACCTACAACAACCCAGTGATTCCAGCCATGAAAGCCTTCAATAATACATTAACTTGTGTAAGTTATGGTATTAACATATTGTTAACTGCTGCTCTGGGCCTGAGTGAAGAGGGGGAGGGGGGCAGAAGACAGTTCCACCT